ATCTGAATCTGGAGGAGTGTGGGCATGTCCATCTGCAATCCATGGTGCACACAGCTTCTGCAGAAGTTTTGTGCCGGGAGGAGGTCAGCAAGCTTTGCAGCTTCCGTGTTGGGCTTGCCGTCCTTACTTGGGAGAGAAAAAGAAAAGGCTCTACTGGAAATCTTGCTTTCAAGTAGACCCTGGTATAACCGGGCCGCACATCTTTCCTTTCCGAGAAGTGCAATAAAACAGACGGGAGCTGCACTCAGCTCTTTCACTTTCTCTCCCACACACCCACCCACCACAAATGCTGTACACTTTGTTGTACTGTGTTGCAAAAGTGAAATGCAGTCTCTGAAAATTTCTTAGTGATGGGTATTAGAAATAAGGAAATCTAAAACGTAAAGAAACATTCAAACACATTGTGGTGTAAGATGCTTCCTATTTTTGTCCCTCCCACCCTCAATTCAGCTGTTAAACTAAGTTGGCGGTCCTTGATAATTTCAAATTACTTAAGAATCATTGGCCAAATGATTGTTATGAATGTGGGAGCAAGGAGACAAAAAAATCCAAGAAATTAATGAATGTCAGAATCTAGATATTTGGAGTACTGATGTAGAATATAATGTCCCTCTTTTCATCAGGGGGTCGTTGGAGGGTATGATATTATTGTCTGTTCTGCAGTCTGTGGACCACCTGAATGAAGCCTGTGGACCACAAGTGCAGGGGATTCAAATGTGAAGCCTTTCCTCATTCATTTTAGCAGGAGACTTCAGGACTTCAAAGAACCTTGCACCTGATCTCATTATGATACCAGATGACTGGCAGGTAGGCAGCACTCCCCACCTGCCAAATATGGCCCACAGAGCTGATCCTGATAAGGATCTGGCTCAAGGAGCCAAAAGGGCTCCCTACAGTTTATAACTTTATTTATTACAAGCAAATTCAGTTATTTCTAGGCATTTTTAAGTGCAATACATTGGTACCTCGGGTTACATACGCTTCAGGTTACATATGCTTCAGGTTACAGACTCTGCTAACCCAGAAATAGTACCTCGGGTTAAGAACTTTGCTTCAGGATGAGAACAGAAATCATGCAGAGACAGCAGGAGGCCCCATTAGCTAAAGTGGTGCTTCAGGTTAAGAACAGTTTCAGGTTAAGAACGGACCTCCAGAACGAATTAAGTACTTAACCCGAGGTACCACTGTATTAGTTTTGGACATTCGTACAATGATCTGTAAAAGTATGTGTGCATTATTCCTCTCTTAAATTTGATGAATTTAAGCAGAGTTTTATCTTGGTCAAGACTGAAATGCAATGAATATAGTAGAAGGGCTATTTTTTTCCCTTCCCTTGGCCTCTCACTTGCACAGTCCAGATGTCTCTCTCTCTCTCTCTCTCTCCCCGAATGTTTTTCCTAAAAGAATGTATGCAGCTCATGTGCCTCAGCTAAGGAGAATTATTTCATGGGATGGCATGAGAAAAGAGGACTTTGTAGTAGCTGCTTGTGGATTAAGTTGTTCTCAGATTTTATAAACTGTAAGTATTGTCTACGAAAAGAATCACACACTCATTGCACCTCACTGCATTAGGCGCTTTTGAACGAGTGTTTTCCAAAGAAACTGAGGATGTGGATTATGATATACATGCAAGTCTGTTCTGAAAATATCAGTGAATGAAAAAAGGAACTTTTGGATAGGATGATGCATAATACTGGCTGCCCTATGGTCAAACAGGATAGGAGATCCACAATTCCTTTGTTTTTAAGTGGTTGCGGGGGTGGGTGACTGGATGAGGCTGTGGCATAGTTTGAACCCTTCCCCCTAAGCCACACCCTCAATTTATTAGCTTGGTTGGATGGAGTAAAATGAAAATCCAGGTGCAATATGGGTACCTGTTTTACCTCTTTGTTGTGGTCAATAGCAGGTTCGGTAGCATTTAAGTCATCGAAAAAGCATATGGGGAGTTAAACTCACCTCTGTCAGCACAATGACCAAATTAAGATCCCACCCTACTGCTGCTTTTAACAAAAAAGAGAGAGATCTAACCCTATCATGTCTAGTTTAGCCCCAAGGCTTCTTTGCCAAATTCAGATTGTTCTTGCCCTTTTTCATCACAAAGTGAAGACAAGAAACTGAGCTCAGCCATGGGTTGGGTAGGAGAAGTGGGGAAGACTAAGTTCATTGCCAAATGACCATCTCACAATCGTTATCACTGCAAGCACCATCAGGAGCCTCCACCAGTATTTCTGAAGCTCTTTTGAAGGAACCTGGGCCACACCTTTTCGGTCTGTCCTTGGACGATACAACTGCTCTAAGGAATGTGAAGAAAGAAGGTGGATAGCTGATCACCCTCCCTATCTCTGAAAAGGCCAAGTACTATATTTTTGTGACTTGTGCACTGACAACTAAGAGTGGTGGGTGGGTCACACAAGTAGAAGATTAGAGCAAGACAACAATGTAGAACCCGAGGGGAAACAAATCATTCCAGTTGAAAACAAAATCTGATTAAGCCATTAACTTTCAGATAAAGAAAATCAATGTGTCTCAAGCTGGTTTTCTTGGGCTATATCTATCGTGCCACAGAAAAGAAAGAATCACAGATTTTTGTTTCTAGGGACGCATGCATGTGTTATGTACTGATGTGTGCATGGATGTGGTTACAAGATCATACAACCTGAAATTCTAAAACACACACTTATGGCAGTGCTTCCAAATCCTCCTTATTTTGGCTTTATCATGCAAAAACTAGAGAGGTCCACTTTGCTCCTTGATAATATGTTCCATTTTATTTGGATGGGGTCCATATAGCCTCTGCTTTCCTTTGCCTTTTGGAGCAGTCTTCAGCATCCTTTGTTTTGGAAAAGAATGTCTTGTAGAAGCCAGATAATACAAGCACTTTTCTTTAATTTTCTTCTTTGTCTGTGTGTCTCTCATATTAAAAAGCCAGACTGAATTTAAACCATCAGGGATTTTTTTCCCCCTTCTTCTCCTGCAATTGACATTTCAGCTCCCTCTGGAATTAATTCTGAATCCTTTGCCATTAAGAGTCATGAACAAGATTAGCATTCAAATTTGGGCTTTTAAAACAAAATGTTTGAATACATTGAACACTCCTTTCTCTCTGCTGTGTATTTACACATGAACTGGAACAAAAATACCAGTTCTGAAAGAGGCACGCTATGTTAGCTCAAAAGACATGTATAAATAGTTGCAGCTGAATGAGAAAGGTAGGAACCCTATTGTTTCAGCTCCACCAGCCATCTTGGACTATTTCTCTTTATTTTAATAATAATCTACAAAGGATTTTGCAACCTTCTACGGCAAGATGCCAGGCACTCGATTCTCCTGAAAAGCATGTTGTACTCTCAGTATGCAGATCCTGACCATGATCAACACAGGCAGATCAGAGGGTTTAACTGTGGAAAAACTTGTGCGCTAATGCTTTGAAAAAGGGTAACCTTACAATGCACTTGCAGCTATTACTTTGGCTCCTTAGTTGTTGGCAGCTCCTCCTGAACAAACTGTACTGAAACAAATAGGAGCTATGTGAAAACACAGCAATGTCCAGGATAAATTCACCCCGGTGGAGCTTTAGAGATCATACTCCACGATTTCGCCATGGGGAGATCAGGGCAGCAGGAGGGATAGATTTCTGCATCATCCAATACCAAAAATTGTATTCTGAAACACTGGTAACTATACAGCTGCATGAAAAATCAAGGTGTTTCCTGGGAATTTTAGATGTCACCAATATGTGGATGATGCCCAGCTCTCTCTGTGTGTTCCATTTGAGTCAGGACTTATGCCCCACGTACCTGAATGACATCTCCTCCCCTACAGACCCTCTGTGTTGATTGGAGCTGTAGTTCAAAACATAGGGAGGGCACCCTATTAGTGAAGGCTGATCTAGCAGATGTGATAGCTGCAGGAAATGAACCTTCAAAGCAAAGTGACCCAGAGAACATGCAGCTAATGTTTTAAATGTCTTAAATGTAAAGTATAATTGTTTAATTGTACATTGAAATGGAAAAGAACCCTGTATATGCGCTGTATGTGCATTGCCATCTCTCGCCACAACCTGGACTCGGCATTCATCCTCTGAGGCGCTTCTTCATGTGTCTCCTGCCTGTAAGGTCCAGAGGGTGGCAACACGAGAAAGGGCCTTTTCTGCAGTGGCCCCCCATTTGTGGAATGCTCTCCCCAGGGAGGTTCATCCAATCACCTTCCTTATCTATGCTTAAGTGCCAGGCAAAAACGTTCCTCTTCAACCAGGCCTTTGGCTGATTAATATTCTACAGCCTTTTAAATGTGTGTTTTTTTGAGGGGAGGTTGTTTTATTGTTTCTGTTTTAACATTTTATTTGTGTTTTTATCTTGTGAACTACCACTCTGTGACCTTTTCATGAAGGGTGGTATATAAATTTAATACATAAATAAAAATAAATCTCTGATCCTGCTGCCACAGCTACAATCAAAAGTTAGAGCTAGAGTAAAGGTAAAGGACCCTGGATGATAAAGTCCAGTCAAAGGCAACTATGGAGTTGCGGCGCTCATCTCACTTTCAGGCCAAGGAAGCTGGCGTTTGTCCATGGACAGCTTTCCAGGTCATGTGGCCAGCATGACTAAACTGCTTCTGGTGCAACGGGACACCATGACGGAAACAAGAGCACACAAAAACACTGTTTACCTTCCCGCAGCAGTGGTACCTATTTATCTATTTGCACTGGCATGCTTTCAAACTGGTAGGTTGGCAGAAGCTGGGACAGAGCAACGGGAGCTCACCCTGTCGCAGGAATTCGAACTGCTGACCTTCTGATCAGCAAGCCCAAGAGGCTCAGTGGTTTAGACCACAGCGCCACCTGCATCCCAGGGCTAGAATAGACCTTCACTTACCATATTCTAGCATGGGCACCCTGAAACTGCCTGTCAAAGTGACACATATTTCACTACTACAAAGGAAATATCTTTGTCATGGAGTGTTGTGGCTTTGAAAAGTTTCTGATTAATATCATGCATACATAGTAGCAGCTTTAATATTTTATTTCAGTCCCATTGTATGTTATGCAGAATATGTAAATGTTACAACTACTTGACATCAACCAAAATGTGAACTAGGTTGCATAGGTTAGTACTTCAGGCAGCAGAAGAATGTTGCTCTAGTCCACTGAAGCATTGAGATTCACAGTGTACAGGGGCGGAAACAGGATTTAAAGCATTTCTAATAAAATATATTTTAATAGCTGGTGTTATCCTTTCGCATAACAAAAGCCAAATTATGCCAATGCATCATATGATCTCTTAAAATTACTCCCCTCCCCTGTTGAACTACAAAGTTTCCTCAATAATTTTATACTCCCAAATAAAAGTACAATTTTGCAAATTAACTCAGTATATGCATTTTTAAGCAAACGTACAAACTAAGCAGTTTTGTTGTTTTTTTTTATAAATTGCAAAAAGTAGATGAGTTCCACATCATGCTAACCAAATACAGTCAGAAAAAAATGATTCCCAGTGGTTTAGAGACATGTACATTGTAATACAGATTTGTAATGATACAGCAGATAATTTATGATCTCTCTAAATAAAATGTTTCTGTTGCAACTTGATTACATCATAAATACAATATGCAATTTCTATATATTGGACAAAAAAAGCATATGAAATTCATTTGAACATCCTGTAAGTAGTACAAGCAGTTTCAGAAGAAAATATAACTCCAAATATTTATCCCAGGGGGATTCAAAGTTTGAGGTGCTTGGAGGCACATTCGTGCTTCAGAAAGACCCATATACAGAGCTAAAGTTCTGCTTGCTCTTTTTCATATGAAGATGATTTCATGAGTTTGGCTATTATGAATTGTTATGTTTTTGCTGGAAGAACAATCAGAGACTTAACAAAAAGGTCTCAGCATTCCTCAGTGACCCTAATCATCTGACTATGATTGCCAGATCTTGAAATCACAAACTCTAGCAACTGGGCTAGGTCTCAGATTAGAACTCTCTGGCCCGAGATAGAAACCTACAGCAGGTCTGGTAAGCAAACCTCAAAAATGGCACAGTATTCACTTAAGGTTTACAGCTTTACAAGAGAAAAAGTAATAGTCCTTCCTCTCATTGTTCTAGCAACTGGCCCTGAAACAATCAACCTTGGCAGGCTCATTTTATGGTGTTTGAACCAAATTTTGGGGAACAGAGAGACAGCTTGAAACAAGTCTGAATTTGGAAAGCGTCATAGGCAAACAGAGGCAGAAAACCTGGTGAATTTTAGCTACAGTTAACTAAAACTGAGCTGCAACGGTTTTTTATCTGGGAATCTGATGCAGAATTTGTAATTATGAAGTCTGCAATAGAATCTGATTCCTTCCAACATCTGATGCATCTTCCCTCGCTGGAAAAAAAGCATACCTCTGTAAGCTAGATGTGAAGAATTTGTGGCCCTGCAGATGTTGTTGGTCAATGGTCAGGGGTGATGGGAGCTGGAGTCTAGCAACATCTGGAGGGTGACGGGTTCCCCATCCCTGCTTCCAGACTTACTGTCATTTGGGATAGGGGGAAGCATATTGCAGAATATGAAGCTGCCTGACACCAAGAAAGATACTTGACCCATCTAAACCAGTGCTGTAATTGGAAGCAGTTCTTCAAATTCTTAGGCACATCTTTCATACCTGGAATTCTTTTAATCGCAGTTGCAAACTATAGAACCTGGACCCTTCATAAAAACCATGTGCTCCATAATGAACAGTTCATTCTTCCAAGCAGTATTTTACACTAAAAAGTACCGTATTTTTTGCTCTATAAGACTCACTTTTTCCCTCCTAAAAAGTAAGGGGAAATGTGTGTGCGTCTTATGGAGCGAATGCAGGCTGCGCAGCTATCACAGAAGCCAGAACAGCAAGAGGGATCGCTGCGCAGTGAAAGCAGCAATCCCTCTTGCTGTTCTGGCTTCTGTGATAGCTGCGCACAGAACAGCGATCCCTCTTGCTGTTCTGGCTTCCGAGATTCAGAATTTTTTTTCTTCTTGTTTTCCTCCTCCAAAAACTAGGTGCGTCTTGTGGTCTGGTGCGTCTTATAGAGCGAAAAATACAGTAGATTTTTGGGCCAACAGCAGCATATGAAGCTCTGACTACATGCATCGGTTTCATCTCCTTGTCTATCTCCTACCTCTGAATCTCAGCCTAGAGAAGAATTGGCAAGGCATTGTTAAGAGCTTCATAAATTTTAATTCAGAAGTTTGCATTTGTTAGCAGAAAACACTGCTAAGTCGGAAGAGTTCGATGCTACTGATTGGGTTTCAACTATTTAATTATTAACTAAAGTTTATCCAGTAGTTAACGGTATAATGTCATTTCTAACACCTAAAATCTAACAGCTCTTATTAACTAACGGCTAAACTACATTCTTCCCAACTTCTGTGTTTGCAATTGTTTTAGAAAGAAGAGTAAAATTTCAGGTATTGTCCAGTACAAGGCGAAACACCCAAAAGAATTAAAAATGCTTTTCACCTCTCTAGAAAATGTCTTCTTAGTTTGAGCACATTGAATTCTAGTTTTCAAAAGGATACTTTTTATGTAGCCTCATTTTGTGGGGGTGGAATTCAGTTATGAATGTGCACAGTGGAGTCATAAGGGCTACATCATACGTTATTAGACAGCCTTTGCAGCTGCCTTCCTGACCATTGGCCTTGCTGTCTAGAGTTGATGGGCATTGTAGTCCACAACATCTATAGGACAGCAGGCTGAGGAAGCCTCTTATAGCATAGTTGCCACTGGAATCCATTTCTGCGTGGCAGAGTTTAATCTGAAGGCTGCAGTATCTGGAAGTACCCATCTGCACCACGACTTTATGAGGGAGGTGGTGCATGAGTTTCCATGTGATTTGTGGGTTTTCCAAAAATCTGAGTCACTAAATAAGTGCCACAACCCTATGAATAATCCACAATAGGTGAGATCCAGTGGCAACCACACTGCTTGTGTATGAAACTGTATGAAACTGCATTCATTTATATGCAGCATGGTGCACCAGCTCAAAAACTGCATTAAAGGTTTGAATAAATGCCATAAACATTTTGCGGTGGGACAGTTCTCTTTGAAAAACAATTACCAGTACCTTGTTTCAGGGGTTTTTTAAAATTACAACAGGCAAATAAAGATGGCATTCATCCTTGCAATTTAATATCACATGTAATAATGTCACAGACTGCATATGCATGTTGTTTGCACAAATATGGGTATTGCAGACAATTTCCTTTACTTAATGAGAAACTATTTTGACAGCACTGCTTGCCAACATGGAGGTGGTTGAATGAAGGGACTGAAAGTGCAAATAGATAAATAGGTACCACTGCTCTGGTTCGCCAGAAGCGGCTTAGTCCTGCTGGCCACATGACCCGGAAGCTGTACGCCGGCTCCCTTGGCCAATAAAGCGAGATGAGCATTGCAACCCCAGAGTCGTCCGTGACTGGACCTAGCGGTCAGGGGTCCCTTTACCTTTACCTTACAACATTACAATATTCAGCATAAGGTAAAAGTAAAGGTTTCCAGGGCAAAACTCCCCACATATTCCTTCAAAACTCGCCACATATAAACTGAATTGGCATGGTCTCATGAGTAGATTGGTCCATCTCATCATGTGAACACTTGAATCAGGCATGACAGTCTTTTTATTAACACCAATCTGAAGTCCATGCTCTGGCCCAATGAATAGCTAAATGGCCTGAACTGCCCAGGTCAAACTGAGGGCATTCTGTGGCTACCACAGAAAAATGGCCAGGAGACAAAACAGCTGCTGGTCTGATGGAAAAAATGGTTTATTTTCCTTCTCTTGGGTAAAACAGAATAATAGAAATGAAGAGCTTTCTATTCTTTAACTTCTGTACTTATGAGTTACTTACTATGTTCGAGATGTTATGCTAGAGACATTGTCCTCTGACATCTGAGAACAAAACTCTTTAAAAGCAGTTTAAATATACTTCCCTTAGACAATTAAAAAATAATAATATGCACAATACAATCGACGCAGCATACCTTCAAAGGTCAACTTCAGTAATTCATACCATTAGCAAAATACAATGTAGCCCTTAGACACCAATCTATGTAAATAACAATCTATTTAAAAAACATCTTACTTGGGGGTTTACATTTCCCTCTCTCTGACCTGGATCTTTTTTTAAACACACATACACCCACACCAGTCCTGATTTTATTTGTATGGAGGAAAAACAAGAGATAAATGGTCATAAATATCCATACTTTGAGTACCTAGAAAAATATATTCTTCCCATACCTCCCCTTTTCATAATATGTTGGATACTATAAATGCAGAATGGAAGTAACTTATATTGGTACTGATTTTTATTTTTTATTTTTGCATAAACAATTAGGAATATGTCTCAGCAAATTTGTTTTCATGCACTACTTGCTGGGCTGGAAGAAATGCACTGGTTCAGGGGATAAATTCTGACAACTAAACTCATTGTATTTCCCTTTTGCTCTTTCATTTTTTTTACCTTGTGTTAATAATAATTGGCTTGATCCAAACATTCCCTTCAACTGACAGAATGCATCTTCCATCAAATGAGTCTTTCCATCAAAGGAAGGAAGCCTTTGGACCCAACCCTATAATACTATAAAGTTATTCACCAGTATTTTCTTGTAATCCTTACAACAGCCCTTCAGTATTGGTCTCCCCATTTGCAGATAAGGAACTGAGGTTGAGTGAGAGTGACTTAACTAAGGCCAGCTGGTGAGCTGGTGGGAGAAGTGAGATTTAAATCGGGGGCTTCCCTGTTTCAAAGCTCAGCCTCTAATCCACTACACCACACCAGCTCTCACCAGCTCCTAAAAAGTTTAGGAACATCTAACAAGTGTTTTGTGATCCAATGAGTGTTAATTAGAAGTGATAAAATAAGACAGCAGTGCAACTGATATCATTTTTTAAAAAGAAAACAGGAAATAATGGTTTTGTATTTTTTACCTTGTGGGAAGACAAAGTTTCTCAGGTGGATGCCATGCTTCAATTATTGAGTAAATCCTTGAGTTATATTCACAAAGCTAGAAATTTACTAAATATCTAATAATCTTTTTCTTGAACTAAGCCTCTGGAAAAAAATCACATTCTTTGCCAGTCAGGTCCCAAATCCAAGCCCCAATTCATGAAGTAACCCCTACCACCAATCCATGTATACCAGGGATGGAAATGTGGCTGTCCAGATGTGGCTGGACTCCAGTTCCCTTCATCCCTGGCCGAAACATCTGGAAGGCTACATATTTGCCATCCCTGCACGGAACCATTACACGTAAAGGGTACAATTATATGTCATTGCAAAGTTCTCAGGACAGACCCTTACAACAACAAAAAATAGATATATGTGTTTTGAAGACAGTGCTTTGAAGACAGTCATTTCTATACAAACAGTGTTAATACAAGGGGAAATAGAAAAGGTTGGAATTAACAAAATAGAAAATGCACTCTAAAATTGTTTCTAACTGTGCAAAAAGGCACAGCTATTGTTATGGAGATCATTCACAACTGGTAGTTTGGGAGGACTAACATGAATTGGGACTATGGATGAGAGAAAATGAAAGCTTCAGGGAAAAATACAGTAGACTGGACAGCTGTGTGTCAGGAAGTTTCCGGCATTAAGTACAAGATACACTTTGTTTAAGGCTGCCAGGCAGTTGTAAGCAACTTCTGAGCATGTCATTTATCACAACAACAAAAGATTTGTTCTGTTAACTTGGATTTTTAATTACTCGGACCTTAACACCAAGGTATAACCTCTTACAATTTCAAAGTCACACAATAAAAAATACCAGCTGCTTTGCAATTAAAACTTAAGTGGGAAATGCAGCCTACTGTAAAGGCAGAAACCTATCTGGGAGCTAATTAATAGAAACCTTTACATGATTACAAGCACCAGGTTTCCACCAGCAAGTTTATTTTTCTATATCTGTTTAAGCAGCACACTTTGGGAAGTCAGTGCTTCTTGGACTTGTTAGAGGAATTGTGTGTTGACTTCCAGAAAGGAGCACTGATTGTTAACATTAACAGGGAAGTAATGAAGATGTGGTCTTAAAAGTACGTTTGTAAAGCTTAAGTAAATCAAAATAAAGCTCAGAAGTACTAACGGTGAGTATTAATTAACAAACTCAATGTAATTTGCTGGAAGCATTCCAGTTTTCCCAGTTCTCTGAACAGTACCATACATCCAACCATCGTCAATTGGTTGCACATTGATGATGTAATCACCATCCCTGAATGAAACTTCATCTTCATCTTGGGCACTATAGTCATACATTGCTCTATATGTTCTCTGTGAAAAGAAAGGGGAGGGGAGTCCATTAAACACAATTCACAGACTTTCCAACAAACCAGTCTCTACAAACCTACATTATATGTCACCAGCAATGCAGGTTGTATAGATCAGCAAACGTTCAAATTGCTAAGAAATTATTCTTCATGGAACTAGGGATAGTCTTGAGTATGCAGCCCTGAATATTAGAAACTCTTTTGAAATATGGATTGTCACTTGCCTGGTCGTCATAAAATAAGCTAAGATATCCATATTCAGGGAGAATACCATTGGTATGAACTGGCACTTAAAAAGTACACAATATACCATACCAATTACACGTCACAATACTCTATATCAGGCAAATTCAATGATCAACTATATTGTTAGGAGGATTTTCACCCTTTTCCTGCCATTAATTGTACTGTATATAACCACACATAGTACACATAGATATGTACACATTTGGGGTGTGGGAGTGGGGAGAGAGATAAATTATTGTTGGGGAGTTTTTTAGATATTCGCCATAAAGATGTGGTCACATTTGCTAGCTAAACTTAGTGATCAGTATTTCAAAATGTATTCTTAAGCAACCACAATTTACTAAACACATTTATGCCAACCTAAGTATGGAAGATTCATCTGTTGGGAGCCGCCCAGGCCGCCCAGATTGGCTGGGGCAACCCAGTCACATGGGTGGCTTATTATTATTATTATTATTATTATTATTATTATTATTATTCCACCCAAGATTCTATGAGCTTGTCCACACTTCTGCTTGTGCAGCTGCTTTAACCTGGTTTTTCTGCAGATATTTGTTCCAATTCAGCAGTAAAGAGTGGGTTTTCCCGGGGGAAATGGCAAGACAAATGAAAAACTGCTCAGATCCGTGCCAAAAAAGTATGGGAGAAGTGGACATATGGATGGGTCCTATGATGCATTTCGCAGTGGAAATGCTTGCAGCAATATTTCATTGTTTACAGAAAGCTTTTAACTCAGAGTTTGAAGATCCAAGCAATTTTACACATTTATTCACTGCCGTTCAAAGCAGTTTATGGTAGGTTTTTGGTAGTGTTTTAATCCATCATTCTTCATCAAGCTGAGGTTGTGTTGTTGTTTTTAAGTGTCAGTTTCCAGCCATATGCCAGAAACATCAAGAGATATTCAGAATATCAAATACTGTATTAGAAGGTGTGGGAATGCGATTCTTTACTGTATCTTATGATTCTGGGACAGCCTTTGCCAACCTGATGCCCTCAAGAAGTTTAGGAAAATGATTCCTATCAGCTCCAGACAGCATAGCCACACTGTGAAAAACTTCTAAAACTTTTTAGAAGCTTATTATGATCTGGGTGTAACTGAGAAACAAAGCTCAAAGTTCTACATGTAATTACATAAGGCAGCTGTCAGGGGAAATCTCCACCATAATTCAATTACAATGTAGTAATTTAGCTATAGCATAGATTGTAATATGTAATTGAGATTTGTACTCCTTTAAGGTCTTAAACAGGTCCGTTACCAAAAAAAAAATTAAGTTTGCTCAGGTTAAGTTTAGAGAACATGTTTATAGTCCATGTGAAAAAATGCAAGATAAAGGTTTTTTTAAGACAGGCTCAGTTATAGAGGAAAGAGGGAAAATAATTGTGTTTGCAGGAGAGAGGCTGCTGTGAAAAGGATTAATTATTTAACTCAATACTCACCAAGGTAGCTGAATGTGGCTGTGAATGCATTGATCTCATAGATGACACACTAGTCTGGTGCATGTAACCATATCCTTGGGGCTGACTTTGTTGATAGGCACCCGGAAGTACAGGGGCTGCATGGCAAAAGAAACATAAATGAATTACTACAAGGGAACATTCTATTGTCATTCATTAAGTGAAGTGGTGCTTTCTTCTCCCTTTACAACATCTGCAGTAGTTGGTTTCCTCAGTAGGAACTGGAGTAAGCAGAAAGAGCTTCTGTATACACAAATAAAGCTTGTCTTAGATAGAAAAACTAACTTTAAAAATTGGTGGGGGACTCCCCAAGCACACACTGACACCCCAAACTTGGCAGATGCAAGGAAAAGTGTGATTTACTCAAGGTTATATTGCTATCTGAATCAAGAGAAAAGCAGCACAAATTGGCCCTGTAAGAGTGAACAAAAAACAACAACAAAAACAAAGTTAAGTGAAAACATTCTATAGTTAATGTCACATACCAATGTTGTGTTGTCTACAATTCCACTTCAAAAGAGCTGCACCCCCTTGAATTTTTTATTCTATGAAGCAGTACTTGTTTACAATCTATGGCTACATACCCCAACATGAAAATCAAAGGTTGGTAGATGTGGTTCTGGCCTCACAACCTTCCTACATCTTGCTGATCAACTACCCAGAGAGTCATAAGAGGTGCATTCACACCTCTCTTCGCAGACAGAGTTCACTTCAGCAGTAAAGGAAATTACTTCTGTGCTGTCTACACTACAAATGCAGTGGGCAGCAAACAACTCATATTCACTTTGGGACCAGGGTTCTGCTAAAACCTAAAATTATATTAGGTGGGGAAAAACAATTGTTATCAAGGTATCCAAAAGCGCATCAAAAGGTCTCCAAATTCTCTGACCCAAAGTAGGATATCTGTTCCCGAGTTCTTTGGATGTAGGTTAAACCAGAGGTAGCCAACATAGTTACTTCCAGATGTTGTCGGACTCTGTTCCCATTATCCTTAAGCATTGGCCATATTGGATGGGGCTGGTGGGAGTTGGTGTCCAACAAAATCTGGAGAGCACACGTTGGCTACCTCTGGATTAGATATTATGGAGACATGAGGATGCTGTCATTTTGGCACCAGTGGGCCCAGTCCTCCCCATTCCTGCAGAAGGATCTAGGTTGCCCTTCTAAAAGTGGAGTGACATTGTGTTGTGATTTTCTCTTCCTCCATTTATTGATTGGGTAAAAATACACACAAAGGTGGCCGGTATGTTGGTCCATACGAAACAAATGTCCTAAATCTGCTGTTGGGTTGTTGGAACCAACCAAAATGTCACAAAATAGTAGCAAGCTTTTGAGTTGTGGATAACATTTTATCAAGCAAGATGTTGCCCAAAGCAGCAGGGGTGGGGGACGGTGTAAGGGAAGGACAAAAATTAGCCTGCGTTTTATAGTCACAAGGTCAGGGAGAGAGATATCCCTGGCATATCCCATGCCAAGGATATGTCTCTTTAAGACATACAACTTCTCTAGTATCATTTTCCTTTTAAGCAGGGATGTCATGTCTTCCCAAATACTTTTTCATCTACAATCTGAGCAACCGATTGGAAGATGTGATCAAGTGGTGAAGCCGAGAAATTTCTGCAGTAATGAACACTAATCTCCGTTTCCTGTATGCATGCAAATCAGTATGTGCAACTCAGGCCCACATGCAGCTAAACTTACTGGTTGCAATGAACAATTATCACTCTAAAGAACATTTGCACAAGTGGCCATTATTTCTTTGCTCCCCACCTGCAATTCTATACAGACCCAACATACTGCTCCTGTACCCAAGGCAACCCTATGTCTGTGAGTTATAGGCATTCATAGGTTAGCTAGATCTTTCATGTTTGTTTGTTTGTTTGTTTGTTTGTTTGTTTGTTTGTTTGTTTTTGAGGTGTCCTTCTGCCTTTTGCGTTTGATCGCTTAGCTCTAATGAAAACTTTCTTAAACTTAGTAGGTCACACACTACATACATGTGCCCACAGGGACCTTGCAGGAAAGCAAGCAGTCCTGCTCCCAAAGAGATGCAGAGCTGCCGGCTGAATGTTCCATTGCCCAGGGCAAATAACAGGCTCAGAGTACTCCTACCCGAGGGTGTGCAAGTCACAGGCAGCACTATACCTGGCCCCATCCTAAGGCAGCTCAGCAGGAAGGAACTGCTTGTCAATTCATCACAGTCCACTTTAAACTCAGTTCCAAAGGGGAGTTTGGCATGAAAAGTGGCAATGTTGCATCATGCGGTATAAGCTGCAGATAATACTACCCAGGATGCATAGAGCCTTCCACATCCCAGCAGACTGCATAGCATCTAACCTTGATGTTAGGCAGTCAGTGCTGGATTTGGTTCATGAAGAGTCCCTCGTGGTGGAGGGATCATCACTGCAGGTGTCCTTATTTAACCTTGCCCTATAGATATTATTTTATCTATTGCTCAAGACCTTTCTATCCCGCCTGCCTGAAGTCCTATTGACATTCCCATTCCGACGGTATAAACCTTATGTAAAAAAAAAGAAAGAAATTTTAAAGATCGTTGGTCTTTCCAAGACAGAATACTTTACCATGCAAAACCTTTTTAATTATATGAGCTCTTTCCCCACGCAGTAAAATCTTCCCCATTTTTCCGAAAAATAACAAAGCCATTACAAATTGCTAGGTTTTTACACATGGTTAAATAAGAAAACAATAACAAAAGACTGCTGTATCATAAAAGCTCCTTGCTCCATTAAGTATGATTAAAAAGTGGTTTGGTTTTAATTATCTACTCAACTAGAAAATCTGATGGAATCTTAACTTTGCTTTTATGACTTACTTTCTTTTCACTATGCATCTCAACAGGAAATGCACTGAAATGAACCATGAAGTATATATAATCTAATTGTATAATAGTTGCAAAATCATAAAGCCTGGAAAGTAACAATTTGAACAAAGAGATCCTTTGATCTACAAAACCATTCATAAAATATTCTAATATTAGAACCTACTAAACAGGCCAGCTAGAAACCCTTTATGTGTCTGAATGGGGGAATGTTTGCCGCTTTATTACATAAATGCACACAGATTCCATTAGGCTGAGAAGTCTTGCCTACTCAACCCCTTTCGCTGATGTATAGGTAGCTCATAAAATATCATATACAAGATGCACCATCCATGGGACCACAATGCAGTCGCTACATTAATGGAAACATGTATTCAAACATATATTCAAAATTCTGTGGTAGCCCCCCTAACTGAAAAGTTCTCTCAGGATGGTTTTATTCTCCTTAATTTCATTGTTGGTTTTTGGCACTTTTTATAATTTTGCATTCCTTTGTATTTGTGCCTTACAACAAAGGGATACTTCTCAGACTTAGTTCACTGGAACTGCAAAACATCTGATAGTGGCTGGATCTCTCTCATATATATTCATTCATATATATATATATATATATATATATATATATATACACACAAATATATATATTTGAATCGCAACTTATGTCAACTACAACTGAAGAAAAGTATTCAGGACTTTACAGAAATATAGTAAGCAAGATAACTCATTATGGGAGAGGACCTTCTTTTCAGATTAACACATTTATTTTAACATTGGTGTTTCATAATAGAAAATACATAGTTTGTCACTAATGGGCTTGAACTTGGCAAATTTCAGAGACCCAAATATTAAATTCCAAATAAGAAACACATAGTTGTCAGATGCTAATGGGAGTGCTAAAGCTATTCAGTTTTAAGACGAAATACCTCCCTGAAATGACAAGGCATAGTTTAAATGGCCTGGAAATATAGTCAAGAAGAATAGAAGATTGCAATGAATATTTCATAGACATATTTAAGTGTAATGCAAAATCCACTTTAAAGCACAGACACAACAACAAGCATGCTTATTAAGCTCTCCATGTATATTCATTTAAGGAAATGGTTGGCAACTTCGTTCAGAACACTGGCATGAAGATCGAATGAGCTGGGACTTTGCCAACATATACCAGAATTCCAATAAAAGCATGCAAGAAACACAGGGAAGCCTGAACTATCAATCCTCAGTCTACAAGTTGCCCTGTGATAATGTGTGTTAAGAATGTAAGGATGTGATTTACAGTGGAGGACAAACCTTTAATTTAAATGATCAGGGGCCCTGCAATTGAACACAATAGCAGAAAGCACAAAATAATTCAAGACTTGGGTACTTGCCCCTCTCAGTGACTTAGATGCTGTGTACTCCTACAAAACACCCAACACAATACAGAATATACACATAGACAGACATACACAAACACATATGGTGTGGGTGTAGGACTGAGCACCATAACTGCTTGTAATACTGTGCTGGCATCCTAAATCAACTAAAACATTGCACCTCTTGCTGTGTAATAGCAGTACAGATCGGTCACATAGCAAAGACCATGAACACCTTTCAAACACAGTTGACCAAAACTACATTAGACAGCCCCGGTCTCTATCTTCTCCTCACACTATCCAATGAGCTTGTACATGGGACAAAGGCATTAAATAGACTGGCCCCCTTCCTTCCCCCACCGCCCTACTTAAAGTCACATATTTCAAGCTATTTGCACTCTGCACAACTGAAGTCAGAGGTGGACGAGCTTCAATAAAACAAAAACAAAAACATTTATTTAACAAGTATGTTAATAGCTAACCAAGAAGAGGCATTAAGACCTGTGAATCAAACACTGCATGAAAAAAAACAAACACAAACCAAAATCTTACTGGCTATTTCAAGGGCTCTTTGACATTAATAAAAATACTTCTCTTACACAGCTGTTTGTTTACTGGGCAAACAAAGGTTGCTGAGTTAACCTGGAGATGTGCAAGGAAACAGGCACACTGTGACTGTTAATCAGAAGGGAACAGAGGACATCTATGGGTACCTCCTTCGTTAGATGGCCTTGTTACCTCACTGGAACAAGAAAACATAGAGCCCTCTGATTTGTCATCTCCAACGCCAGAAGTACTGGTAGAACGGAAATGCTGTTTACTGTAACGTCTTGCTTTTTCTACGAGGGGAAACACAATACTGCAGTAAATAGCTATAGGACAGATGAGTAAAGTAAGAGAGAGCTTCTTTATTTTTTGTTTTTATTCAAATAACAGGGCTGACAACTTGGGTACTTCCCATGCTAGCAACATCTTGTGCAAAGCTGCCCCAAGATACTAATAACTGGAATCTATGAGCTCACTAAAATGTGCAAGTAGGGAAAACTGTTTGCACAGGAATGCTGCTATTGGATTCTGACTAGGGCCATGCACAGACTGTTCCCACAAATACTGGTACAGCTGTGACCAGTGGTGCCAACTTGAATACAGTATTGGGAAGGCCAGGTAAGCCCCACCCCGCATAATCAATCCCATTTAACCACAGAATCAAGGTAGCTGATAGAAAACCCACAAGACCTATCACCAACTTTAAATTGCATTCTGGATCTTTCTATAAGCCAAGCCATGTGATCCATAGCAAAAATTAAACTAACCATTGTCGTGATATTAAATAAATTTCATAATTGGAATAAACATCCAGTGCTTAAATTAGACAGTAGTGGGCATTAGATCTGCAGCCTTTAGGCCAGCCCAGACATCAGTAAATTGCCTCAGGAAACACAAACATGTGGAGTAAATGAAGCCTCACTCAGTGAATTAGTGCACAGGCCACCCCATTAAAAAAATTGCTTCTGTGCTCACACAAATCAGTTCTGAAAAGCAGCAACTACATCGTTAGATGGGCTGGTCAAATATTACTTGACTACAATCAAGCACTGGAGAAAATCATGAGTTAAACAATACCCGAAAGCATATGTAGACTCCTAGACTGAATATTATCTTCCAAAGGGTCAATGTCGAAGATGGAGCCAGGATCTGTGCGCCAAACTTTGAGGTCTTTCCCAAAAAGAAACAGTAAGACGATTGGGGGAAGAACGTAAAAGCACAAAGATGTTATCAGGGAAGACATAAATAATGCCTGGGGGCATGGAGATGGGTTTTACCATGGATTTGACCATGGGAAAAATAACATTTGAAAAAGTGTGAGATATGAGTTGTGGCCTCATAGTTTCATAAATACTATCCAACATTGCAGAAATAACTTTACGCGATTCTTAGTGTGGTACTGAAGGAAAAGAATGAATGCATCTCATTTTCATTTCAATGCACAGGTCAGCACTTATAGTTTGCAAATAAAAATACCACGACTTTTCCAACAATAAAAATCTCATCATACCAGGTATTAAAATCATGGAGCTGAATTCCTTTTCTGCTAATCTACGTGAAAAAGTCAAATGGCAATTTCTTCAGTGATTACTTTCATTTTTTTAAAAGAAAGTTAAGAATGTTAATAATTGGCTGCTCATATTAACAATTTAAGTACTTTTTATATTGTCTCTCTCTCTTTCTTTACCTTTCAGTCTTTGTAGAGCAAATTAATGTTTGATTAAAATACCTTTCATCTTATCATCTGTTCTGTTAATTACTATACTCATTACTTCAGAGGTGACTGCAATCAGGAATACTGCGGCAGACAATTATCGCCTGATAACCCAAAACTGACCTATCATTTTAATCTTAAGAAAGAATTGCATATTGAAACAAAGGTACAAAACATCAAATACAGATAACACTGCAACTAGACAGAACAAGATAGCTAGATAAGTAAATAAATAACAGAGCAAGATTATTCTGCAGAGCTGGCCCACCTAATATATTTGGGTCAGTAAAGCACAGAGTAGAAACTTACCCACAATTATTCCAGGTCTCCTGTCCATTTCAACTATATGTGGGTGGACACCTTTGTAGGCAGCATCACTAACCACCTGGGTATTTCTTCTCACCCGTTCAGTCACAGGATCATCCACTATTGGAGTGAAACCTCTGCCTTTCGTCTTCTCAAAATCTTCATGGTATTTGACCTGGAGAGGGGTGGGAAGATTATTATTTTCTAGTCCAATGACAAGGTGTATTGAGAGCTGTAGAAGATAGGCACTGTCACCATTATTTTTCTTGGGCACTGACATTTTTGCTTATTTCAAGCTGCTAACCACTGCCATGCAATTGTTCCTTGCCATTACAAGGCCCAATAGAAGTGCAATTCCCATTGTCGTCGCTGGTTTTGTTTTTTTAAGGTAATTACTTTTTGTATACAGATAAAAAGTCGCATGCAGTCTATTGCATTTAGTGTTACATTCACATGCAAATGATGGTGCTAAACCCTTCAAAATCATCTTACATTTCATTCAGTTTCAGTTGTAGAAAGCACAAATGCTCCATATCAATACGTTAGGATAAAATTTCAAATTAGTATGACTTTTCAAGGTATCGCAGATATCGATATGCTTTTTAAAAGCCTCCCTCCCCCATTCCTCACATACGGTCATATACACAGCACACTCACACATACACAATCCTTCAGGCAAAGGCAATCAGAGCAACCAAATTCAGAATTCTACTTGCACACACAAATCAAAAACATGCACAGGCACAAGGCAGTGTGTGTGTGTGTATCACCCTCTCCAGTTAAAATCTGCAATGCTGGAACAGAGAGGAACCACGTGAAGTGTCTTTAAGAAGCCACACGAGTGAATGGTTAGGGAAGTCGTTTTATTAGTATAGCAATATGCAACATTTAAATGCAGTTAGCAAACCCCCATCCCAAGAACCACTGTGTAAGGGGGAAAACTCAGTCCAGACTTTAGCGCACCGTGCTAGTTACCTAGATTAATGAAGGGTTCAATCCAATCCAATCTACAGCTACTGTTCTTCAGAACACACTAGCTATGTGAAAAATGTACCCTACCATTGAGATGTTGTTTTGTGTCTCTTTGACATGCCTCAGCTCAGGTGTGTCTACAATCATACTAGGTCTACCTTTCATCTGTTGCTGATCTCGGCTGTACTTGACCTGCAAAAGACAGCACATGGATTTTTCGAGTGTGCACAACTTGACAGGAAAATCATGCTTAATGTCACGCGCAACTGATATTCTTTTACCATTCTATCCCAAAATGAATAGGCATTGTGGAGATGTGGTAATGCGCATTGCACTGGTCTGCCCGTTCAAAGTCATCGACCTTCACTACAATTCATAACCGACTAGTTAATAATGCATGATACAAAAAATGTAAGATTGTACTTTAGTAAACATTGGCAAAGTCATTAAAAAACAAAGTGGAGAAATAAGAAAAACACACATGAAACCTACTGCTTCATTATTAGCAGTCACTAGGCCCAACGGATAAATACACATTTCTATAGTACTCTTAAAGATTCAAAATTAATTTATTAAGGACATGATTTGTTAAGGCATGATGCACTCATCACAGAAAGGTTAAATTCTTTATTAATCCAAAACAATAAAAAGAAACAAGGAAAAACAAAGGACTTGCCGAGCTGATAATTTCTTGATTCTTCTTGACTCTCTCCATCTCAGGAGTGACACTGACAGCAGTTGCTTTACCAGGTTGCACTTTATAGTAAGCCTATTAATTTCAGATATATATAAATAACATTGCAACTGAACAATGATAAATAGGGCACCTGGTGTTTAAATTCCAAATGTTCTAATTAGTTTGGTATTTAAGGCTGTATGCTGAAGCATAACGTAATTATTTCTTTGTATTTCATTGGTAAAATATGTGCAAAGAGAAGCATTACTAACTTTAACATAATTTGCTCTAAGGTATATTAGTGCTACTGCTGCTGTACAGTCTCCATTTGGTTCAACAGGGATTTTTACTGCAGTTACAGGGCTGGTGCACAAAAAGGGAAAGGAAGTTTAAAAACTGACACATATTCCCTAAAATAGATCAAACAATAGATCTATCGTCTTTCGACAATATTAAGTGCAGGTTGGAAATTTGTTTCATTTCAGCGTTTACGATATAAAGTCAAACATTCTGATGATGTCAGAAGGATATCATAAGAAGTTGCAAAACTGGGTGTTAGACTGAGACTCCTCAAGAAGTACTGCAGAGACAGAAATATACAAGAAAAAGGACACTTCATGCATATAAAATCAGGGGATAGAATCGTAGAACTGCAGAGTTGGAAGGGACCACGGTGAGAATCTAGTCCAACCCCTCTGCAATGCAGGAATCTTTCACCTAACATGGGGCTCGAACCCACAACCCAGAGATTAAGAGTTACATGCATATATTAAGAGGCTGGGCTTTCCCCCGCTCTTTTGTAAATACAGTAGCTCCTGAACTGGGAGAATGAAAGAAAGGGAGAGTGCTTAACTCTTCCTGTGTCCGCTGCTTCTTTGCTCCAAAGGGTTTGCCCCCAGGGTTTCAAATGCAGGTGGGCTGGGGAATCTGACTGATGCTGAATTATGATATATTTCACTTGGAATGTCAGTTTTATAGTTCTATTTTTGTTTGTTGTTTTTTAGTACAGTGCATTTCCACAACAATAACAACAGCAATAATAAAAATTCGCACAGAGGAGCATCTGTTTTTTTAAAACTTACTGCGCTAATATTTTGCTGGTTTTTCTTTACTCGTTCAATCTCTGGAGTCTCTGTTACAGCTGTACCAGCTCCTATCACTTTCTTGTACAACACCTTCATTGAACAATAGAAAAATAATTATGAAGGTATGCTTCCTGGCACAAGTTTGCAACAACAGGCAATGTTCCAAATACTAAAGTATACCGCCTCTGTTGTTTTAGCTTCCCATAAACTAAATCACCACAAGAACTAATAAACTCATTTTATTTACTGGAACCTCATATGAAAAGAGTGCACATTGGGAAAGGCCATAACAGGTAGCATACTTCGCAGTGATATCCACAGATGTTTAAGGTTTAATTGTCCTGGCTCTTAGCATCTGATAAAGGTTGAGCACTTTCCCGTATACCTGTTCTTGTAGCCCTTTAAAAAGAGTGCAGGGCTACCCTCACCTCCATCACAGCATCCCACCACTTAAAGACTAATAAATTTATTATAGTATAAACCAACAATGGAGTAGAGTGCACTTCATACTTTCTCTGATCCATAAAAGCTGACGCCATAATAAATTTGGCTCCATTGAATTCAGTGGGGTTTAAGTCCACATAACTCTGTAGAAGACTGCACTGCTCAAAAAAAAATCGTTGCATTGCTACCTTTTCCCACAGTACTGTGAAAATTATTGTTGCAATTATTATTATTTATTAAACTTCTATACCTCCCTTCATCTGAAGATCACAGGGCAGTTTACAATATTTTTAAAAAATTACATACCATGATAACAAACAATAACAAAACAATAACAATAACCACCCGCCAACAGGAATGGTACAACCTTTACCAACGAGGGTATGCAACAGGCTTGGGGACAATGAACGGTACATTTTTCATTGTGCCCTGGGACACAAGAGAGTTCATTTGATGTTGAACTTTGTTAAGAGTTTCCCTTAAAATTTGGATTGTTGCTACTTACAGCACTGATATTTCTCTGTGTGTTTTTAATTCTCTCGATTTCAGGAGTGTCTGGAACAGCAGAGTAGGAGCACAGCATCTTCTCTGCTTCATCTTTGTACTTTTTCTACAAAATAGAAAGCCCAGCCAGATGGGTGGGGTATAAATAATAAAATTATTAGTATTAGTGTCAAAATAAGTATGTATGTATTAAGCAATTAAACAACTAAATAGGCTTAAATATGTGTAAGCCTACTTTACTGTCGCTTCACAATTCCTATACAATGTCAAACTGGGCCTTAATATAACTCAGAATTAAAGTCTGTATCTTTTATTATTTTTATTTTAGCATCCACACATTAAAATAAATGCACTGCCATAAGAAGCATGCATACTTATTAAAAAATAAGACTCATATCAGAACAAAACGAACAACCCTGTGAGCAGGAGGACACTTCCGAACTGCAAGCGCCACTTAATTACTCTTCATTCCCTACCCACCTGGCTGGCTATTTCAGAAGCTTTCTTTGCTCGCTGTATCTCTGGGATATCTGAGCCCACCTGCATTCCTTTCCCTTTGATTTCAGTCTCCAGGTCCTTCATATATTCTTTCTGTAAGAAATGGAACGTTAATGAATTCTTAGACATACAATATCTTTAGCCTTTCATACCCATACAGCTGGAATAATTCATGTGTGCTGCTTTCAAAAAGGTATGCTTGCACACAAACTAGATTTCTGATGCCTGGCTGTGCTTCTGTCAGATTCAGTTTTTATTATTTTTCTATACTTCCTGCTTTCAAAAGGATTTCGTAAAAAAAAAAAAGTTTAAAAGCCCATTGTATTTTACTGTAAATGTCATTGAAGCAATGCATTCTGCACTAACCTGGCTTGCAATTTCATAAGCTTTCTTTGCTCGTTGTATATCAGGAGTATCCATGCCCACCTGCATGCCTTTCCCTTTAATTTCCATTTCTAGATGTTTCTTGTATTCTTTCTGTGAAGGACAGATCAGGAAATACTCAGATCTACAGCAGCTGAAGCTTTTATACAGATCCTGCTTTAATCTGCATGCTTTTATTAAATAGCACCCATGAAGGTCAAATTGTCCCTTTATACTCTCAATACTGACTCCATAGGAGATACTCAGATATATCTGATGTTCCTTAAGGAAGAAAATCATTTAACAAAAATGCTTCTTTTAAATAATCATCATCATCATCATCATCTCTGTAGTATTTTATTTCAGGTTGCTCCTGTTTTCACTGTCCTGAATCAATGGATAAATTCATATAATTGAGCATTATAAATAATAGATGTAATTCAGAAAGGACTAAATTCATCTGTCACAAGATCCACTCACTAGTTTAAGGTTTGAGCATTTATGTCTTATAAATGCTTACCACTGATATTGACATTCAATGCAAATGGGGGATGAAAAGCCCTTCCTCTGTTCTTCTACAGGTAAGGTATCAATGAAAGTTTACTACCACAAGTCCTTGGCTCCCTGTTTAGCCCACGAGCCAATTTTCCCAAAACCACACCTAATCATCCCACACCTGACATCGTATGTAGGATCAGGTGGGAAGTAGGTGGACATGCAGCTGAAGACACAGTTCCCTGTAGAAAGCAGGATTGAATTCCTGCACCACGTGCAGGTGGTTTAGTCTTGCTGGGTTTGGGTATGTGAGCAATTTCATATGAAGCCCCACAGTACCCTCACCAGAACCTTACAGCCAACAGTACTAAAGCCCTTCTAATAAGAGACCCAACTTGGAATCTAGTCTAATTGGGATTCAGACCTGGTTTGGTATGGAAACTGACTTGGTCACCCTGTACAATGATCTGCATCAGGAGAGAGCTGGGAGTGTAGCTCTGCAGAGTCTCCCTACATGACTTTTGATGCCATCAGCCATGTTATTTTTCTGGGGTTTGAGCTGAGTCTTGGGGGAACCACATTGAAGTGATTCCACTCCTGCTTGGGTGGCCAGATCCGGACGGTGGTTCTTGGGGAGCACTGCTCAGCTCTGTGAGGTTCTCCAGTTTGGGGTTTCGCATAGATCAGTTCTGTCCCCAATGTTTAACATCTACACAAAACCACTGAGTGGGGTCACACAGAGTTTTGGAGTGCATTGTCACCAGTATGCAGATGACACACCGCTTTATTTCTCCTTTCTATCTTCTGCTGGTGAGGGAGTAGATGTACTTAATCAGTTCTTGGCTCTGATAATGGGCTGAATGGGTGCCGATAAAGTAACATTTAATCCAGACAACAATGAGGTGCTGTTAGTGAGTCGTTCCTCTGTCTAGATGAGTGGTGTGCAGCCTGCTCTAGATGGAGAGACACTCCCTCAGATGACCAAGTTCATAGCTTGACGGTTCTCCTGGACCCACTGCTGTCACTTAAGGCACAGGGGGCCATAGTGGTCTGCCTTCCACCAGCTTAGGTTGGTGGTCCAGCTACAACCTCATCCGTGCCAACTTTTGGAATTCACACTCAGTTTTGCAAGAGTTGAATATTTTGGTTTAGGGTCACAAGCACACCTTACATTTAAAGCACACCACTTCAACAGTCATGGCTTCCCACAAAGAATACAGTGGTACCTCGGGTTAAGAACTTAATTCGTTCCGGAGGTCCATTTTTAACCTGAAACTGTTCTTAACCTGAAACACCACTTTAGCTAATGGGGCCTCCTGCTGCCGCCACACAGCCAGAGCACGATTTCTGTTCTCATCCTGAAGCAAAGTTCTTAACCTGAGGTACTATTTATGGGTTAGCGGAGTCTGTAACCTGAAGCGTCTGTAACCTGAAGCGTATGTAACCCGAGGTACCACTGTACCGGGAACTGCAGTTTGTTAAGGGTGCTGGGAACTGTAGCTCTTTGAAGGGTCTCCTTATGATTCTCGGTACCTTTAACTTCAGTTTTAACTTCAGGCAAAGCCATGGATGTTAAAGAGGTATGAGAGTGCTTTAAATGTATGGTGCAGATGGGACACCAGACCAAAATGCTCCACTCTTGCAAAACATGAGTATAAATTCCAAAAGTTGTCATATTACCGTATATGATGCTATAAAGCATACAGTTCCATTTCAAGAAGCATTTTAAACAAACCTGGCTTGCAATTTCAGATGCTCTCTTGGCTCGCTGTATTTCAGGAGTATCTGTGCCAACCTGCATCCCTTTCCCTTTAATTTCAGTCTCCAGGTCTTTTTTATATTCTTTCTGTGCACACAAAAAAATATAAATCAGGGTCTATTTGAAACGGAATGGGTAGGAGAGAGCAGAACACCTTTAAATGATACGCATTGCATATTCAAAACCTTTGCCCTCAAAGACCAATTTACAATTTAGGCAAGTGGTTTCTCTCTACAGCGGAGTTCTTGCACACCTACAAAATGAATAAATGTGTCAGAGTGTTTAGAAGGCTTGCATATTAAACACATGGTCAAACCCTTTAATAATGGTGGTTTAAAATTCTATTGAGGTACTGAGTTACATGGGGAGTTTTCAGCAATGGTTTTAAAAAATATATGTTTGTTTTTAGTATACAAAGAACGCTTCCTAATTTAAATAGCCTGTGCTATTGACTTGGAGATTACCAAGTGATATAAATTATAAATAATTAATTCACAATGAACATTTTATTTTCAGTGGGCCCTAACACATCCTAATTTTCTAAATAAGCATATATATTATTAAAAATGTGTTGGAAGGTGTGTTGAGTTAACTGCTCTAGAATATTTATTTGTACACAGAGGTAGACACATAAGCTGGGGTTGAACTGGGCCACTTCTATTTAGACCTTCAATTAAAATCATCAGGAGGGGATGCCTATGGGGCAGAAACTAATTTAACTGTACAACTATAGCCATTGGGTGACCCGCCATTGCCTAAGGAATTAGGGCACAACTCCCTAGCCTGTCCTGACTCCACACCCTAAAGGTGAGAAGGAAAGACTTACCCCATCACCACCACCCAAGACTGCAGAACCACAAGTGGATGAGAGAGTTTGGCCTCAAATGAGGCCCCTCTCCCAGCCTCTGAACCTGAGAGTCCAGGAAATGAGCCTCTGTGCCAACCCATCAGCTGAAACATGCCTAAAGGACGTCACCAGGCTAAACCAAGCTATTTCTTTTCCCGCACCGAAACTGCCAAAAGCGACCAAATCAAGAAGATTAACCTATTTAAACAACACAGCAGACCATATAGCACTCCATCCCACTATTCAGTGTGAAGTAGGCAAAGAAAACCAATCTGCGATCCAAAATGCAGATTGGGAGAAATCCCTAGCATAGACCATGAGGCACAGTGGGAAACAGGGAGGGAGGGAAGGTGCTGTTGCCAAAAGAAGGCTGGAGGGAAAGCGGCTTGTCCCTTCAATAAGGATCAACCCCTGACCCATTCCTCAGACCACCTTGGAAATGCAAGGATTTTCCTCCTCTGACTCTCTTGCCCAATGGCTCGTAAAGGCACCCAGCCTTCTAGGAACCATCTTGCCCTTTTGGCTGAACGTTCTGGCACCCCAATAGGCAAAGCAAGGCCCATTAAGTTCAATGGGACTTACTCCCATGTAACCCAATATACCTTTGGCAATACAAAGCTACATTGCCAAAGAACTCCAGCATGTTATGCCTTCCACGTCGTTTCAAAAACAGAATGTGCTGCATTAGATTTCTACAATGATTTTCAATAAACAAAATAATTTCTATATATATTTGCTTAAATGAGAACAATACAGAAAGTGTTTCTGAAATTCAGTAGTTCTATTCAGCTTTATTACTCTTCTTGTGCCGGATGTGCCAATTAATTACTAATTCCACCAAGCCATAAAAGATGCAAAGGAATAATTTTAAATGTTTTGCTCTACTGACCTCACTAACAATTTTAGATGCTCTCTTTGCTTTTTGAACCTCAGGAGTTTCAGAGATGTGCTTAACTCCTTTTCCCTTTATTTCATTTTCCAGATCTTTTCTGTATTCCTTCTAAAAAAAAAAAAAAAGTTGGAAACAGTTTCAAAGCATGGACTTTTTCATAGACTCTAAAAACTAAGCAGATGTGTCATTGGGTGCTTTGTGAAGGGCTCACTTTCCACGACATTAATAACCTTTACTAACATAACCTACCTCATTTAGTATCTGAGCTGCATTTTTCACTCTAATCAACTCTGGCGTATCTTCAAACACTGTCAGTCCTTTTCCTTTCATCCCTTCTTCCAAATCTTTTCTATACTCTTTCTGAAGGTTTGAAGGAGAGGGGGGAGGAAAAGGTTTCTCAGCTTTAAATCGTGAGCAAGATCTTGAAAAGGAAAAGTTCTTATTAAATATTTCAAGGAATACTTTGAAAATCTCTATAAAATATGAATTAGATAGTGCACATTTACCATAGTTAAAATAGAATCGGGAAATCAAAAGATAGGATGCACCAAGAATGAAAAGATTGTAATCTTTACTTGCTCCTAGGAGCAGGGGAACCACATTCTTCTTTTTATACAACTAGTTACTACAGATACTTTATAAAACTGTAAGAGCTTCCACTATGGATGGTAGGGTTTTTTTTTTTCAGATTACAGACAAGTAAATGACCCTGTCACTCAAGTTCTGCTAATGCTATCATTATTCACAAAGGTGCACTAAATGCAACGCAAAAGGCACTTATCCACAAATCAGAGTTACATAGCATGATGAGTACTTGTGATTGAAATGAACATGTAGAAAGATATCACGCTAATGCTGCAGAAAACAGAACCCAGAGTTACATCAGTTTATGACACTGTCTCCAGAAGATCTGCGTTCCTCCTTGATTGACAAACCAAGAGGTATTGTTTCAATTTATCTCCAGGTATCTTTGAAGCTTCGAGTCAATTCAGACATCACACCAAACAATCTTTAATGAAGCTTAAGTATGATTTGGCGGTATTATCTGAGAGTGGCAAGTCATCGTTTGTGGTTGGCCAGCAAACAAGAATCAGAAACCATGGTTTTAAGTGAGTTGGCAACCTCACTTAACTATTGTGCTAACCGGGGCTTCACTCACCCTGTCATGTGTGCAAGCAAGTGGGCAGGCAAGCAAATTAGGAGCAACATGAGAAGGCATGTCTGTGTCACCAGCCTGCCCAATGGCAGGCTTGCTTACTCTGCCGGCAAGCTCACCCACAACTCTGGCCTGCTTGTTTTTGCTCGCTTGCTCCATCCACTGTTGTCACACTGCAGTTCTGTGGCTACACAAACTGCATCACAACAACTTCTCTCTTACCAAAGTATTATATACGTAGTAAAACAAGAAGTAACTAGAGGTGGTTCTTCCATCTTCTGACTTATTACAGCTTGTGCAGGTGGCGCTGTGGGTTAAACCACAGAGCCTAGGACTTGCCGATCAGAAGATTGGTGGTTCGAATCCCCGTAACGGGGTGAGCTCCCGTTGCTTGGTCCCTGCTCCTGCCAACCTAGCAGTTCGAAAGCACATCAAAGTGCAAGTAGATAAATAGGTACCACTCCGGCGGGAAGGTAAACGGTGTTTCTGTGCGCTGCTCTGGTTCGACAGAAGTGGCTTAGTCATGCTGGACACATGACCCAGAAGCTGCACACTGGCTCCCTCAGCCAGTAAAGCAAGATGAGCGCCGCAACCCCAGATTCGGTCACGGCTGGACCTAATGGTCAGGGGTCCCTTTACCTTTACCTTTACCTCTTTGAGCAGGTTAGTAACACGCTTCACGTTCAAGAATTCCGGGGTCTTGTCCAAGTCCAGTGCTGCCTTTCCTTTGAGTTTCTCTTCAAATTCTTTTCGATATGTTTTCTGTGCATGAAATAAAATTTTATATAACTATAAAATTGCATGCCGTTTCATGTAAACTGTAGTTATATTGCAGCAAGAGGTAAAACGTTGTCACTGAACAATCCAAAACATAAAGATACAGAATCTAAACATTTGGAGGATATCAAAGTGAGTCTCTAAAACAGCTATTCCAACTTCAAATGGGAGACACAATGGGATCCAAAGATTTGCTCAACTTGTTCCATGTGTTGAAGCCTGTTTTGAACATGTGGTTGTTTCCTGAAGAGCAGCATGTGGTGCTGCAAATGGTTTTGAAAGTGGGAGGACTTCAAAAACCAGTATGCAGTGTGTCAAGTTGATATGCTGCCCAGTGGGGGGGGGGGGGAATCCAAGATCCAAACTGAGTGAGAACTAGGCTGAATTATCTCCTTAGGCTGTGACTAATGCATTTCATCATAGTGAAAGAACTACCCACAGCCCTTATTCAAATGCCATAGCAGCACAATGTATTGAACACTGCAGTACAGTAATGATTTCCAAAAGCGTTCCACCAACCTCACTTTGACACCTCTGAGCCTCCTTTGAAACTTGGTAAGTCGGGGTATCCACAAATTCCATCATGGCCCTGCCTTTTGATTTTTCATACTTCTCTTTGTACTTCACCTAACAGAACAGAGCGCGGATCAAAACTACAGCAATTTTTAAAACTGACAGTTTGTTCATTCACAGAGGAGGGGCTTCCCATTCCTTGTGTATGAATTCTCTTTTATGCATGAAAAGCATTTCCCTCCTTCTAAACATATATGCTGTACATAATATACAATCCAAACATGCAGAGCTACTGGACTGTGCACACTGTCTGCATACCTGACTTTGGAGCACTGCGTTTTCTTTGTGGTGCAGCTGTTCAGCTGTATCCAGTGCGAAATGATACAGCCCCTTACTTTTCTCAAACAGCTTCTTATATTCATACTGAAACAAATAATAGGCAAATATATATAAAAGACCAAAACTGTCAGTTAATATAAATCCCTTAAAACTATGATGATACCTCATTGTAGTAGTTGTTGTTTAAAACCACAACTTTGTTTCAAAGTTTGTAAGAACTCATCTTTAAAGCAAAAGTGTAAACTAAACCGTGAAATGGTTTCTATTAAAAAAAAAACAGATGAAACTCTGATCCAGTGAGGACAACATGTGCACATGGAAACAACATGCAGAGTGATTCGTGGCAATTCCAGTATTTGATCTGAACCATGCATGTAGCATTGGAAGATATTTTCAATATCTGTCTACACCTCTGCACAGCACTGATCACCTCTAAGCAGGGCAGAGTCTAAGGTTTTCCATCCCTCCAAAATTCATAGCTAATGCTTGGTGCTAGATCGTAATCACATGCAGTAGCATGACACATACCTCACACCACTTCAGCACATGTGCAACTTTTGATCAGGACATATAACAGCCTTGGGGCTGTTCGGGATTCATAAACAATCTTCCTGTGCAAAGTGATTCCAGGGAGCGGGGCCACAGCTGGTTTCCTAATCTAGTGGCAGTGGTTATCTTATCATAGCCGATGAAATCCTGCTCCAGAGGGTCCACCTAACTTTCAAGGGCAGCTTTTCAGGGGGTGAAGGTATGCTGTAGAACATGTATAGCCCTGGATCCCAACTTAATAACCCAAAGAAGCTCAAGTGTTGAAAATTATAGAAATAGTGTGAGCTCAATTTGACAGTCTCTTATTGCCTCCTAGTGGAGCCAAGCAAACATTGTGCAGCCTCTATCTGTTTTAAAAGTGAAATGCAATTAGTCAATTTGCTAATATAAAAATAGAAACTCAGAAAAAGAGTATAAAAGTATGCATACTACACACCCAGTGCAATTGTATGCACTTTTTACTCAGAAATGGACAGGGAGCCTAGAAAGGCAGTGGAAACCATAGCAAACAAAACAACACACCCCAAAAGCAACTTTCTCTGACCATTGAATTATTCTGCAACTGAACTGAGTACCCAGGAAGGCACAGTTGGGAGAAGCTAACTACCACAGATATTTCAAATAACACAAGACAGGTCATCCTTTTCATCCATCTCCTTAATCATGGATTAAGGAGATTTTATAATGGACAACCTTGTTAAATTGGCAGGGAGCTCAGGACTCAAAATCTGGAAGCATTTTCCCATCTACATGCTGTACCTACAGGTCTACAGGTGAACATCAACCAAAAACAAGTCATCTTTAAGAAGAGAGCTTTGCTGCCAAATCGCATGAGCATGCTTCATGATTGCAACACAAAGCAATTGCTTGTACTGTGAGAGCAAAAACCCATTTCACAGTAAAACAAAACCAGGGTGTGTGGAGGTGTTACTCTGCAGCATGTGAATTAGATTCAGCTACCTCAAATCATATCCCAAAAATAAGAGGACTGAGCGGGGGGGCAATCTGAAGTCTTTCCACATCTACCGGTAGTTTATACAAATATTGATGTGCTGATTCCTTTTAACTGTTATAAAGGTTAGAAGTTTATAAAAGTGTTATTTAAAAAGAAGAAGAGGAGCTAAAAAGGTAAAAGAAAACCAAAAAACCTCATAAACTATAGTGCTACTGGTGTAGTGGCAGATTGGGTAGTGCAAGGAGACATTTGTTTCCTCTGTCTACACAGAGTTCTTTTAAAAATCTGCCGGATATTTTAACATTTATCTTCCCTCTTTCTTTTCATGGAAACTGCTTCTTCAAGAATTGCAATATGTATATTTAAAATGCATTTTATCCTCAATACATGTTGTAAATGCATCTTAGTTCCTTTTTTTGAGCCAATAAATTTATCACAGAATTGGAAAAAAAGTATGAAATCCAAAAGAAATCCGCACTTCTGTTTGAATCAGAATTCATAAAGATTGAATTCCTCAATGGTTAGAATTAGATTTGAAGCAAGCAAGCGCACACACACACACACCATTTTGAGACATTGGTGTGTCTCAAGAACTCCTGGTCACAGTATGCTGGTAACTCAGACATTATTAGTATCAGTATCATTAATATTAATTAAATTTCTCTACTGCCCTTCATCAGAGAATCACAGGACAGTTTACAATATAAAAACCCCAAATCTCTTCTATGGTAAGAGATTAATTTAAGACCACAAACCCTTGCTTCCCATTTTTCATCCCATGAATGCCATTCCAGATGGCTGCTGCCTGCATACAAAGATGGGCTTTGCTTTTTAAGCATATGTAATTATGATTTTTTAAATTACTTATTAAATTTCTATACCGCCCTTCATCCAAGGTTCACAGGGCAGATTTATAATATAAAAATATAAAAATACAGAACATATTAGCATATTAATCAGCCAAAGGCCTGGGAGAAGAGGAACGTTTTCACCTGGCACCTAAAGATATGTAAGGAATGTGCCAGGCGGGCCTCCCTGGAGAAAGCATTCCACAAATGGGGAGCCACCACAGAAAAGGCCCGTTTCTGTGTTGCCACCCTCCAGACCTCTCATGTAGGAGGCATACAAAGAAGGGCCTCAGATGATGATCACAGGGTCTGGGTCTCTCCTCATATAGGGAGAGGTGGTCCTTGAGATATTGCGACCCTGAGCCATTTAAGGCTTTATAGGTCAAAACAATCAGGTCCACAAACTAATCAGCAGCCAGTGCAATCAGGCCAGGATTGGTGTAATATGCTCAAACCAACCTGCCCCAGTGAGCAACCTGGGCATTGAATTCTGCACCAGCCGAAGTTTCTGAACTGTCTTCGGAGGCAGCCCCATGTATAACGCGTTGCAGTACTGGACCCTAGAGGTTACCAGAGCACAGACAATAGAAGTTAGACTATTCTTGTCCACATAGGGGCGCAGGTGAGCCGCCAGCCAAAGCTGACGGAAGGTACTCTATGCCACTGAGGCCACCTGAACCTCAAGCAACAGCAGTGGACCCAGAAGTAGTACCCCCAACCAATGTACCTGCTCCTTCAGATGAAGGGCTCATTAAGTTTAATGGAACATAACACAACAATTATCTGCTCTGAACCATTTGCATTTTAAAACCCTATTCAAATGAATTAATCACAAGAAAGTCAACTTACCTGGCTACTTATTTTGCTGGCATTCAAGGCATGCTCTAACTGTAACAGGTTCGGAAAGGTAGATGCTGGCTCATGAAGGCTTTCTAGGTCTTTTTTGTATTTCACCTGCAAGGTGAAGAATAGACATTTGGTTAAAAACAAACCAGAGCATGGGACAGAAATGCATGGTTTCATTTTCACTGGAGGAAAAAAATGTTCTTCTTTTCCATGTTTGCCTGCCATGTTTTCTATCGGCCATTAGGTGGCACTCATTTACTACGGTCTGACAAAAAGATGGCCGCAATGCATATTCTATTATAGGGGAAAGTTTAACCCTTTGAAAACAGACCTTTCCATATAAATGCTAAGAAAATAAAATGCCCACCAAGCAACTTCCACACAAAAACGTTACAATAAAAAGAGTGCCAAAAACAGCCCTACTTACATCACTTGCCAAGACAGAGGCAAGTTGTGCTTGCTTGAAAGAAGCACTTTCCAGAGGATTGTAGCAGTAATTCTTCATATCCTTATTAAACTGCTCTTTGTATTTTGCCTGAGAAACAAACAAATCGCATAGGTTGTAATAGTGCATAAGTGCAGATTTCAGAATAGCTTAGCATCGGCATTTTCTATTCACAGCTTATCCCAAACCATCAGTTATATAATTACAGGCCAGTTCAATAAACACAGAGGGTATGGTACAGGGCCATAGGCCCGGCCCCAAAGGGCTTATCTAGGTTTCTGGAGCATCTTTGCCTGATCCCTGCTTCATAAAAGGAAAGCGAAGCTGGAACTAGATGACGCAGCAGATAGAAGGCTGCCACGAAAAATAGGAACCCTCCATCTCTCCTCAGTAATATCTGCTGATACAACATCCATAATGTTACACCATGGTGCTGTAAGCTTCTCTGCTCCTACCAACAGCAGCACTGAAGTGCAACAGCATCGTGTCACAGGCCTTGTATCACTTAATATTTCCAACGAAAACATAATGTAAGGTTGCTGCTGTCGATGGCAGATCTCCCTAGTCCCAGCCTTTGGAAAAAGAGGGCAAGTAAGAATAACACGTGTTGGTGGTAAACTTTCAAACTCAAAGTAAAAACAACAAGAGCAAGATCTGAACAAATGACATGGTTTATAGAGTAGAATAAAATTTTGGTTGCAGTGCACAGGAGAAAGGGGAAGCAGTCTGGCGTTAAATGTGGTCAAAAGTTTGTTTCTAACAGAAGACATCTATACCACACTCTCAGGTGCATGTCAGGCTTAAAAAAACTTTTGAAGAGCAGAAATCCCAGGAGCTTTTCATTGCCAAACTAGTTTTAGAGAACTGGGAAGGTTTCCCCCCCCCCAGCTCGATTTTAATTATAAAGGCTAACTTTATAAGCTATTTGGATGGGAATCAAAGGCACGTGTCTCAAAAGAAGTATGTCTTTTCTTTACAAAAATCCTGACCATTTACTGCATTGTCTTCCTTTCTTTTCTCGAGAACATAGAAAGGAAATTGGACGCTGCCTTAGTCTGAGTCAGACCACTGGTCCAACAGTGTCAACACTGTTCGTTCCGGTTGGCAGCTGTTCTGCAGAGCTTCAGATGGGGTATTTCCTAGCTCTACCTTACATGCCAAGGATTGAAAACAGGACCTTTTGCATGCAAAGTATATACTCTATCACTGAGCTACAGTCCTTTCCAAAGGAGTCTCTCACAATAATCATTTTATTTGAGTATCAGGATACTTATTTAATGTGATGATTACACGTGAAGCATGTTTTCTTTTAAGGACTGAGATTAATTTAAGACAACATATATCATATATATCATCAAGATATGGCTCAGAAAGAAGCAGGAGGAAAACAAAAACAACCGTGAAGAATGCTAAGCCAAACAAATTTCTTGCTAAACTTGCACAAATCCCATATACAGCTGGGGAAAGTGTATCTTTTGAAGCTATAAGGCAGCTTTCCTAACCGCAAGCACTTTCAATAAGTATTAGGTTTCATAAGTGAACAATAGCACCTGCTGTTCTATTTACCACCCCAAAAGGTTAAAAAAAAAAAAAGCCAAGCACTAGGCATTGCACATTAGAAAGCTCTCGTTGTAAATGAAATAGGTTTTTAACACTATAAATCATTTTCTTATCCCTATAACAAACAAAATGTATATACTAAGAAGCTGAGAACAACCAAAGGGTTTCCAGGAGATCAAATAAAGTAGAGCATAAATATGCAGCACCCTGAAATTTGTCTGGAAGCATCAAGTACCTGCTGAGAATATAACCTGAGAGAGGATAATAAATAACATGGTCTCTGAGGCATAAAAGCAAGAGCTGGCCCCACCTACATAACCAAAGCAAGCAAATGATTGCCAGGGATGAAGACAGTCGGCACAAGGTTTAAAAGAAGTGTCCCAGGATCCATCGTAATGTCACGGCAGCTGCTGCAGCACAAGACTACTTTGGGTCCTGCAATAGATGCCTCTCAGTGTAGCTGCTCTTGCATGAAATGTCCTGGGCCAAATGTGGCAAAAATTCCCTGTATTTTCTACAGTAATACAATACCTTAGCACATGATCCAAGCTCTAATAGTTACCCCTCAAATAATTAATACCACACTGATTGAGGGTAAGATATAAATTAGTATTTTAAAGGATTATTAACAAAGAGCAAATTCTTTAATAAGATAATGGGATTATTCATGCAAAACCTTATTACTGGGACTCTAAAAAGAAAGAGGAAATATATAACCTCACTGCTTTCGACCAGCATGTATGATTAAAGTAAATGATATTTTAATTATATGATTTAGCTTACAGGTATCATAAAGCAGATCTTAATTCTTTTCCACTTGGCCTAATTAACTCCTTTTTTTTTTTTAAGTAGCAGATGTACCGTAGCTTTTACGTCCCAATCATGTTCCCATAAACTGTTCTTTGGGTGGAAAATAGGACCAGGAAGGATGGTTTGTTCCTTTTTGTGTGAAAAAGTAGTGGCTTAAAATTGCCTATGCCTATAAACACTATTCTCTTCTTAATACACCAGTATGCCTTGAAAGATCACTAGACTCCTCTTTGTCCCTAGAATTCCCTTCATATATGAACTATCCATGATCCAAAGAGAACACGAGGACTGCACAGATGCAGCCAGGGGGGAAATTGCTGTTTTCCAGGGCTCTGTGACATTCATTTGCATCAATTGCAATCCTATCTTAGAATTTAGTGACACCTTGACATCGAGCAGAATGACATAATGCCACTCTCTGTCTTATGGCTCCACTAAGTTCACGTGGTTTGCTCTCTGAATGGACTGAAATTATTATTATTATTATTTTTTATAAAACAGGCTTTTGTGTGGCAAAGGAAAATATCCACTTTCAAAAGACTTTGAAACAAAAATTAAACACCACCGTCCAGCCCCGAAGACTATATATTTGGCCAGTGACATCAAAATGTATTAATCCTACCACCAAACTAACTGTGACCGAAGGCAAATTTCCTCGTCCACTTGTGGGCTTTCAGCTACAGATCTCTCAAAATATTTAATGCATACCAATTACAGCAATTCTATGGGAAAGAGTTGTGGAAACCTTATCTTGAAGTTTTCATGCAATTATAGATAGTTTGCAATTAGAAAAGTGAAGCATTTGATTGCACTCCTGGGAATCAGATATCTCAATTGAGTCATTGTCTGAAAGCTAAGAAAATCTTACTTGGCTTAAATATTTGGAAACCTCTTTTGCATGGTTGAAGTCTGGTCTTCCGAGGACAGTTGGTTCCTTACTCATTTCTCGCCTTCCTTTCGCATATTCAGCCTTCAAGTAATAAAAAGAAAAGTATGTGCACGCCAGGCATAATTTTATTTTGAGAGTTCCCCCCACCCTTTCAGTTTTGTCAGGGGAAATGTAAGTCTCAAAAGAAACAGTATAGCAAGTATCTTTGGTGACCTTTGTTGACACCACTTTCGCTAACACTCTAATCAGCAATTCCCAGGCTTCTCCTGATTCAACAAATGTACCATTTATTTTATTTGAGAAACAATATGCAGCATTTTTAAAAAATCCTCCAGTTTGATCAAGGGTTGAGCTTAAACATAAGAAATGCTGGTTCCCTGTTATTTGGGGGGATTTGCAATTTCCAGCAAAGCTGAACTGAAAATGCAGGTGGCTGCCTTTTAAAAAAAATATAATAGGTCAGATTCCACTCTAAATTACAGAAATACAATCCTATTAAAGTCAATAAAGACTGCAATGAGTAAAATATAGTGGAAGTCTGCATACCGGGGGTGGGGAGGGGAGTTTGCATGAAATTCTATAGGAGAGTGAACCCACCAACAGGTGTGCAGGTCAAGGAAGCATGGAAGGGGGAAAGGTCAGAGACTGATAGACAGGATACCTTATATGCTAGAACTGCAGACAGAGAATCTATCCTTTAAACCTTCGGATGCAACTTTGGTACTTCAAGAATGAAAACCAGATGGATATTTGAGGCTGCATGGTGGCATTCTTTAATTGGCCATTCCAAAATTTTGGAAGAAAGGAACTCGGGGAAGCTTAAAATTGAGTGGAGTGATGAATGCTAGAAAAGTTGAGGCGGCAGGTTAAGGGTTTTTAGAAAGCTTGGCTGCTGATAATAATGAGTGCTAGATGGAAAATTTCTCATGTTTATGCACCTAAGCACATAAGAAGAGGGAGAAAGGATCATTTACTGAAAATTGCCCCCTTTGGGTACTTAGGTTATTGGTCTGAATGCAATCTAGAATTTATCATAACTTTGTACAACTTTAGTAGCTCTGTCCATAATAAAAATAAATTTTAAGTTATCAACATTTTCTATAAATTACAAAGAAATTTAATTTCATACGTTGCTTATTATCTTTGTCAACTGGGTTGCCATCATTATGTCTGGTCGATTTGAAACTTCAGTATATCTGTGAGTGTCCTGGAGATCTTTTTTATATGAAACCTGTAAAATAAAAGACTCATTAATTATCTATGACTTAGCAGGTCAGCTATAAATGTAGCAATGTTAACATATTAGCTGTCCTATACATTCAGCAAACACCACCTGGTAGATTGCCAGGATAAAGGCAAAATAAAACCTAATAACAGCCTATATCATAAACAAAATGAGAAACTCATTCCTATTTCAAAGACCAAAATGGAAATGCTAGTATATCAGCATGTATATTATGCAATGTGTATTATGAGGGGAAGTCTTTTATTTTTCATTTGTTTTCCCAAATGTATCTAATTGATATCTGAAGTTTATCTTGCCTTGCAGACAAAGCTGGTTGGGATTTACAGGTTGGGACAAAATATTGTCCTGTAACAAAAGCTGATCAGGTTTGATCTAGTAACAGTGATTCAGTCCTGTTAGTCACATCCACACTAGATTACTATTACAAACTCTGCATGCAGTGGCCTTTAAAGGGATCTTGGAAACTTCAGCTCTTCCAGAATGTACCCCACCAAATGTTGATGGAGGCAGGCTACAAGCTGAATATGTGAAACCCGGAAGCAGGACATAAGGGCATCAAGCTTCTCCCACTCACAATTCCTTTCCTAATATCTCTTTCTTATCTGAAAAACAAATTACTTTGCCTTAAAATTCTAAACTTTCGTGCCAACAAGAACATTGGAAGTACCATATTAGTGGATGTATTTTTTAATTAATTTTTTTTAAAAAATCACAATTTTATAACAAATAATCTTCCCAAAATATTAACATGAATTTTCAGCTTCTGTCCATATCGCTTTAACACCTTTATATATGTGTGAAATTGTTTTTACATGTTCTTGATTGTATTGTTTTAATCACTGATATGTTTGCCACCCAGGCATAGCTGTCAACGTTTTCCTTTTTTAAGGGAAATTCCCTTATTCCAAATAGGACTCCTCGCCAGAAGAGGGAAAAGTTGACCACTATGAACCCAGGGCTCCTTTAGGAGGAAGGGTGGAACATACATTAAATAAGTAGATAGACAAACAGATTTTTTTAAAAATCTGACTGCTTCTGTATGTTAGTCGCTTGATGATGTTTTCATTTAATACATTACTTTTTACAAAAAAGGTCTAAGTGAAGCTGCTAAAATAATTTCCTAGTATTCTTTGTAAAAAAATTAACTCATCTTATTCACTACTGTCATGCAAAGCATTGGAAACATTTTTTTAATGAATAAAACCAGAAGTGCATCCAGGTTCTTGCAATTCAGAGCATTACATAGATTTAGCTAATTATATGCTGTTCACCCTAATGACCACATGAGGTGAAGTGAATACCATAAAGGCAGCAGGAACAGGTTTCTGAAAAGGACCCCATCATCCATGTAAATTGCAAATTAAAGCCCAGCATATGCGCTCAAAACAGCAGCAAGGATTGAACTGTCAGCTCAGACACAGAGAAAAATGCACAGAATCTTGTGGCGAACGCTGCAGCAATTTTGTACCTTATTGTTCCCAAGTGACAGTCACATGGTAAATGAAATAAGGAAGTGTGGTTAATTTCACAGTGAGGAGACAGTAGAAAAATCAGACAGTTATTTCACCAATCAAGTTCGATGTAAGGTCTAGCGCAATACTTTTCCTCTCATAAATTATTACTCTTCTGGCACCCAGTCAAAGATATATTTATGTTGGAGTGAGACAGAGACATCAAACATTTTGCAAATGTCTGCAATATATAGTTTGTATGTTGCCATACCCCATTGATATTACTAATGTCACGTAGCAGCAGAACATAGGCTGCAGAAGGCTACGCATTTCCCAGTCTGTGAATTATCGCGACTAGGCCCATGCCAAGACAAATATGTGCTGTTCACAAACGCTGCAGCCCACTGTGAAACTTGCCATTCCTTCTCATGATTTTGCGCAAGGTGCCTACACACCTGGTGTGGAGGCAGGTGTCAAGAAACTAAACATGTGCCTCTTGCTAAGGCAACTAGGCCAAGGATCCCTGAAATTTCCATTGCCTGCCATCACTTGTCTCACAGTAAGGTCCTACAAGACAGGGAGCACATTGCAGAAGCAGTCCTTCCTGTTAACACCCATTCTGTATGAGCACAATGCAGCTTCATTTGCCTTCAGTGGCACTGGCTACATGGTCCAGGGACATCACATGTAACTACATGATCCCTGATTGGCTGCAATCACTTCTAAAAAATTAGAGGGGGAAATGGCATTGAAACAGCAAGAGATTCTTCATGGTGACATATAGCTGTGATGGACTCGGGGACCTAGTGAATAAGCAATCAATAACTGCAAATAGTAAATAAATACATAGAAGGGTAAGACTAAGGTTTTTCATTTCTAGTTAAGGTTCCCATCGTATTTCACCAGTATGCACAGTCCTGATCTTATTACCGAGTAAGCCTATCTCCTATTTAGTCTATGAACTGGTGGTGGATATATTGCCATTCTGCTCTGGTAAATTTATTTCATTTATTTATTTCAAAAAATATATGCAGCGCTTGATTGTAAAACAAAACACACACAAAAATGCAAAGCTGTTTACAAACAAGATGAAATCACTAAGAAAAATTAATAAGACATCTGAAAAGTTAAAACAACAATAGAGTTAAAACCCACATCAACTTTTTAAACATCTAAATAAAATGCAGCCAACATCACATCAGTTTTGATAGGCAGTATCGGTAACAGTTCCACCATGCACCCAAACAAGGTCCTTCCTACGTCTTACTTCTTCCTCATCCCTTCCCTTGTCCCGTTTTACCTATCTGGAGATGCTCAACTGTGACAATGCAAGACACATTGGCCACCCCTGTTCTGGGCAATGTGCTGTCCTCCAGATATTGCTAGAATGCATTCCTGATCATGTGGCAAGGCAAAGTTCAACAACATCAGGAGGGCTACAGGTCCCACCCCTCCTGCTTCTCACATTGCCTAAAGTCCCTAAGAGTGGGACAATTGTTCTTCACTTCCATAATCTGAATGCCATAGTTTTAAGACTGCCTTTGAAAATAATTTCAGGTGGAATCTAGACATATATTTTTAAAATGCTGTGAAAATGCTTTTTTAAAAAATGTTTTATAAAAAATATATTGAATTTGCCATTAGCTCACCATCGCCATCTCGTGTCATGTTTGTATAATGCACTTAAAATGTTATATTTGCAGCTGTATAGCTGAGTCCTCAGTGATGGTTTGCCATCTACTGATGAAACATAAGGGAAGCCCTTTTGAGGATATGAGGTTAGCTAACCAGATCTCCAGATCCTGCCACAACATTAGCAACACAATCCTATGCATATCTATTTAGGAATGAGATTCACTGAGTTCAATGGGATTTGTTCCTAGATGAGTATAAGATGACAGATTTAATATTCTACAACCAGAAAATTAATCACATATTGCAGAACAAGCTTTCAGGTAAATATAGCATACCAACTAAAATAATTTTGTAACTATATTTCTTGGGGGTCAGAAATGTAATTGCCATAATTTGGGGGATCATTTTGGTTGCTATAGATGTTAAGATCATTAAAATGTCCATCGCCTAAGTTATAAGCCTGGGAAATTTGACAGTATTTATTTTCCTATTATACAACTTCAGCCGACTGTGAAGCTCAGCGTGAATTCTGTTCAAGGTGGCATGAAGTCATGACGCACTAGACGATTTCAAACTGGGAGTGCAATGATATTTTTAGAAGATGACAGCCTTCATCTGTAAAAGGAAATTTCCCATTTCACACACTTAAGTATAAGTCTGAGCAAATAATCTTAAACTCGCCCTAATCCTATTAATTGTAAACTCTATGTGTAAAGGTTGGAGTTAATTAGAGCAATGTAGGTAAATAAGCATTCTGCTCCTATACTGACACATAACACTCTGTTGGTAGATAAGAAAGGTTTTGTCCTGCCTACAATATGTCTACAATAGGTTTAATCTTCAAAACGAAGCTCATTAAAGCAAAAAAAATACACTCTAGGAGGGTGGATGCTTAATTTTTTTACATTCCAATGACAAACTTTCATATTCAGAGCTGAACATGCAGCCTCATGTGAATCAAAAATAACTTTATTTTTACAAAACTAGAAATCCCAAATTTAAACATTAAGTCAACTCTTCAAGAGTAAGAAAATTAACCAAGTAAGTAAATGAACCAAGTAAATGGAAAACAATAGGTATAAATTGGTATACCTGTTTCCTAATGCATGACAGAGCTAAGGAACTGGAAAAGCTGTAAAATTCTTTTTGTAAATAATCTGTTAATACTGATGCCTGTCACATAGCTGAAAATATTCACCATACTTTCTGTTTTGTTAAGTGCAAAAGTAGGTATCATGATTGCCTTTCATTTTGTTCTGATTTTATATTGACTCTATTTATCAGCTGTAAAAATAATCTTGGGGTTGAGTAAACATTCTTAAATTTTGAGATTTCTTTTGTGTAACGAAGCCCACTATGATCTAAAGAACCACACATTTTTCCTTAATGCCACATGGCAAACAACCAAAGCCACACTATTTCACAAGCCATTTCTGGTGTAGTATAGGTGTAGTCAAAATGTTGGATAGAGTTCTAACATGTATTAAGAAGGTGATAATTTTGCTTTCACAAATTGGGGACCCCTTTCTATATCAGTCTTGCTTTTTCCCTCATAAGGTTGGTGCAGAATCATTTATTCCTTTCTGAAAGGCAGTTCTGTGCTGCTGGTTAAAGATCATCAGTGGTCAAAGGCATGAAAGACAACTTGGAAGTAGGCAGCTCCCAGAATCCAGTTTGCTTTCCTGCCTTCATCAAAGTGGTTATGTTCATATCAAGCTCCCTTCTTTCCTCAGGCCTTTTTTCCCCTACTTCTAATTCCTTCATAACTTTTATCTCCCCTTTTTCTGTTTTCCTTTCCCAGTGCCACCCTTTGTGTGCAGCCACTTGCAGTTTGTCCTGAGACATTGTTTTAGTTTTTTCCAGTCTTCCCCTCAGTCGCCATGAAGCCCTGTGAACTGAATGTCACTCACAGTCTTTCCATTCCTCTCACTCCCTGCGTCTTGCTAAAAGAACAAACACGTTCACAAAAAACCACCCACAACACACAAATAACCTGCTTGTGTCTATTCCACGGGTAGGCAAACTAAGGCCAGGGGGCCAGATCCGGACCAATCGCCTTCTCAATCCGGCCCACAGACGGTCCGGGAATCAGCGTGCTTTTACATGAGTAGAATGTGTCCTTTTATTTAAAATGCATCTCTGGATTATTTGTGGGGCATAGGAATTTGTTCTTTTTTTTCTCTCTTGAAAATATAGTCCGCCCCCCCACCCAAGGTCTGAGGGACAGTGGACTGGCCCCCTGCTGAAAAAGTTTGCTGACCCCTGGTCTATTCCAATGTCCTTGTCTCCCTCCCTTCTTAGCCTCGCTGCCCCTCTCCCATTTCTCTCTTAAGTCAGGGGACGCAGCCTCACATAGTGCGAGCAATCACAATTGATCCCTTTGAATCCTGAATGTGATGAAGGGGCGTGGTGTGGAGTCTCATGTAGAAGAGCAAATCTCTCATCCTTTCTTCCATGATTCCTATTCCTATGTATCCCCAAAATCTGTACCGGAGGAGAAAAGGAGTGCCCTGCTGCACTAATGAATGCCCTCTTGCACTAGGTTGGATCTTACTCACAGTTTTCATACAAAGTATTATTTCCTATAACTAGCAAATATTTCCCTTAAATCGTTGTATGATTAAATTCTCAAACCATGATTTCTCCAAAATATCAAAGCTACATTTCATTTCAGGCAAGCACAGGAGCATCACAAATTAATAGCAGAGAATACTCACATTACTTTGGTGTTTACTGACTTCCATGGCATGCTTAACATCTGGAGGCTCCTTCATATGCGCATAACTTGATGTACCCTTTTCAGCATCATGTTTTTGCTTGTAGAGAACCTGTAAATGGTACATTTTATATCATATGTATCATGCAGAATATGAAGGAAGGTCAATGAAGGGTTTCTTTTCTTACACCATTTTAATTTTTTCCTGTCATGCCTTTTCATAAACCTAAACTATGAAGATGCAAAGAATCAGACTCTCTCTCTCTCTCTCTCTCTCTCTCTCTCTCTTTAATATCAAAAATATCTCATAATGCTCAAGTGCTCATTTGCCTTGACAACTTGTGAAGAAGCAAACTATAATCTACATTTTACAATTAGGTATCAAAATGTGCGACAGAGTGATGTAGTCAAAGACTGCATGCTTATAGATAAAAGTAGACATTTAAACCCAAGTCCACACCCAATATCCTGTCCATTGAACCAAGCTGACTGGTACTCACTGAATAAAAGAGATCAAAATTAGAATATTTAATTTTGCATTGAAAAAATGAAAAGCAAGGCAAAAAGCAATTTAACTGAAATACCAGAATAAACTGTTGAGATACATTCAAGCCAGCTACCCTGTGGGAAGGATCCTGATTAGTTTTTATGTTTGGGTACTGCCCTTTGCTTTTACTTAGAAGTCACTATTGGAAGCATTTGTATCCTTAAGGCAGGATAGAAACCACAAACAAAAACTTCAAACCAAGAAGATACATTCCGAAATCTCTTCAGTCATCTTCACTGAACCCAATGCATGCAAAAGACTGCAGTGGGCTTTGGAAAGGGACCAAAGCATGCAGATTGTTTGTTGCCCCAGGCAGAGTTGTCCCTATGTTGTTTTCTAATGTAACACTGAAATACTGTTAATAATTATTGCTAATTACTTTTAAATAGTTGAATTACAGGGTTAGAAAATAAACAAGTTGCTGTACTACTGCTCCCCCTTATCTTTCAGGAAGTGGGGAAGAGGAGAAACTTTCAGCTAATTAATATAGAAGGAAAATGAAACCATCACTAAGTTTTGAATGGCTGTATTTTTATTTTTATTTGAATGGCTGCATTTTATTTTTATCAGAAGGTTGGCGGTTCGAATCCCCGCAACAGGGTGAGCTCCCGTTGCTCGGTCCCTGCTCCTGCCAACCTAGCAGTTCAAAAGCACGTCAAAGTGCAAGTAGATAAATAGGTACCGCTCCGGTGGGAAGGTAAACAGCGTTTCCTGTGCACTGCTCTGGTTCGCCAGAAGCTGCTTAGTCATGCTGGTCACATGACCTGGAAGCTGTATGCCGGCTCCCTCGGCAAATAAAGCGAGATGAGTGCCGCAACCCCAGAGTCGTCCACGACTGGACCTAATGGTCATGGGTCCCTTTACCTTTACCTTTATATATCTTTCATAGAACTGGCTGCATATAAGAGATATCAGATACAGTTAACTGAAATGGTGTGTGTGTGTGTGTGTGTGTGTGTGTGTGTGTAGGCACAAAAACACCACACCAGGTTAGAGCCAAAGTTTTCCTCCTTCTGTTGGAAAAAGGGAAGCCTTGGATTCAAACCAACTAGGTTTCTATTCTTGGCAATACGGTCCTCAATCAACAGGCATTTTATAAGGAGCTCTTGGAATACAGGCACTCAAGTGGTGTGTAACCTAATAGCAAAGATTGCAAGAAGATTTGAAAACATATTAGCCAAAGAAGGATTTGCAACTGGTAAAGATCAATGCAGATTAAAGCAAGCAAGTTTACAGCAGATCAGTAAAAGGAGGGTCTGATTTCTCACTTCACTACACAAAGATAATGCCTGAACAAAACAAATGTGAGATTCTGAGGACCATCATTTTAAATATTGACTTTTTAAAATCTCCATACAGCAAAGGCTGTAGCTGTTTATTTTCAAAATAATGCACATCCGTAAGAGTCCCACAGTTTTGATATCAAAACTGCTGGGTCCACATAATTAATTTCAGACTTGGCCAAGGCCACTGTAAAGAATTTCATGGATGGGTGCAGCAAGATAAACAATACTATTGAGAAATTGCAAACAGAACTTACGATATTGCTAAGGAATGAGCTTTAATAGGATCTTATTCCTGAACTTTAATTTAGCACATAGCTCAAGAACTTCATAAAGTGGTTCAGATTCACCCCAATCTCATTTTGAATCCAAACTGAATGTAAATTGTGTCCAATCAGATTTACTGAGCCAACATTTATAGATATGAATATGTGCTTTTAATTAGTTGGTATGCCATAATATTTAATACATATTCAAGAAAGTTGAAAGTTCTGTTTATTCCAAAAATGGATTACACTGCTATACCACCACTCTTTCTTCAATCTTGAATGTAGAACATAGGATTTCCACAATTCATCATTTTCAGAAACATTACTTCAAGCATATTTGCCAAGAGCTTGAAGAAATGTTAGCTATAAAGAAGAAAATTGAACAGTCTGTTGACATGCTCTAATTTTCTATTTTCCTTGGGTCATTTTGTTTCCCCGATAAGGATCAAGCCTTGGAATTTTCTGTCAAAGTGATGGAATGTATGTGAATCAAAACCTTTGTCCTGGTTTTTTCCCCATCATTTCCTCATTCATTTATTTCAAGCAGTTTGTCTTTCATTGTGATATTTTTAAAATACTTTGAGGAGAGCAGGAAACCTGGAAATCTGTTTCCTTGTTTTCCAGAAAAACAAAGGACCTAACTATCTGTTAACTACCATATCACAATGCTCCAAAATATGATGTTATTTATTCTGATACTGTTTTGACAGTATACAGACATAACAGGCCAAAAAAAAAGAAAGAAAATGGGTGCCCAGTAATCCTCTTGAAGGAAGAAATGTTGGTTTGCAAAATCTCTTTTTCATATGCAAGTCAGCTAGAATCATCTCACAGCTATTTTGGTGCTCAGAAATTTGTTTACTTCTTCTAATGAATAAACAGTAATGCTAGTTAGGCTAATTGCTGATTAATCTCTTCAGTGCCACATTCAATGATCCCGTACATATCCTCATCCTCCTTGACCCCTCTGCTGTTTTGCTACAGCTGATTACCTTTTCTCTTCCTAATTATTTTTATAGGGAGAAGGTCTTCTGCTTTCTCTCAGCAATCTGTTTTTGGCTCTCTGCTATTCTCTTTCCACATAGTCTATTAGGGTCAACTGAGTAGTGACTAAGCTGCTAAAATGCTAGCTAGACTCTTGGGAAGATTTGTAGTTAGTTGGCAGGCCATACCAAAATTGCATTTCTCAATCGTTCCTGGAGAAATGTGGCAAGTAGGCTGCAGCAGGGTTCTGTCCTGGGCCCAGTGCTGTGTTAACTTCTTAATAAAAGACTTGGGTAAAGGAAATGGGGTGAGGTGATCATCATATTTGTAGATGTTGCCAAACTTGAAGGTATAGCTAATGGGTATGCAGACTGGCCAAATAACAAGGCAAATTGGGGAGATTCATAAGTTGTTTTTTCCTCCTTCAAAGTGCAATTTAAAAGAGGTACTTTTCTGTTCTATTGTTGGTTGCTGTTGCTGGCAACCATCTGACTTGAGAGACAATGGAGTGCATCTCCAGGGGTGAAGTCAAACAGCTGTGTTAGCAGCACCAATGTAACCTCCCTGGGGCACAGGCCTGGGCAGTGTGTATGGAGGTCATGGCTTGCCCTACCCCTGGCTCTTGGTCACAAGCAACATTTTTTAAAGACAAACAAACATCAAATTAGGCACTGAGCAATATAATGTTCTTTCCATCTTCTGTGACAGTACTGTAAGTCATGGAGGACACCGGAGCCACAATAAATATAGAGAAAAGGCAAGGAAAGCAAGAGGGAGCAGAATATAAATATTATCATTTTATTCCCTCCAGCATATGTCAAACCTGTCTGTGCACGAACACTGCACTTTTGGAAGATGCGAGTCTAGATGAAGGTGGTTTGGGAAGGGACAAATCTCAGCTCTGCTGTAAAACCACCATCTCTCCTTTCATTTTCCTTGCAGGCATAGTTTTTGGGAAACCCGACAAGAGGAAATTATTCCACTTTCCCTGGCTTTTGCAGCAGAATGCAGTGATTTATGTTACAAATGGGAAATAAATGTGTCTGCAGGTTTTATATTTTCATGCTACATCTAATATATATTATGTATGTCCTCTTAAAAAAAAGGATGTGTGTTTCAGAATAAATGTTTTAATAGCAGTTTCATTATTTAATTATTTAGGAATATGTTTTATACAAGGAACATCAACAAGACAGAGCTGCGCTAACAAACTTTATTTTAATCTTATAGTCAGTTTTTTGTTGTATCTGTTCTGTTGTATCACTGAAGCGGGGGCGGGGGTGTACTATGTAAAACTGTATGCTATGCTGTTTTGGAACAGGGCCAGAAAAGAAATGCATTGACAGCCAGATAAATTATGTTAATCTCATTTATAAATCAAACTAAGTATGTTATTTAAAAACATTCTGTAATTTACTGCTATCACAATAGAAAGCTCACTTAAACTCTTAACTCTTTGCAACCAGCAATTTTAAGAGACTGTATTGATTACAGATTTACCTGTTACTGTGCTGATCTAGATTGTTATAAGCTGTTTATTATACATCTGTTTCTCACAACCGTGATTGCAATTTCCTGTTTCCGCCTGCTTGTGGATACTTAAGGTGTACAAATCAAAGTCTATTTTTCGAATGTCTTCAGATTTCAAGCAGTATCGCTAAGAGCGAATGTTTTTCTCCCTTGCAAAAATCATTGCTGCCTTTCTTAAAACAATTTATTCTAGATTGAGATTTTTAAGGTCACTCTTCCTGAATAACATACATATAATAAGGAATGAGTATGAAAAGTCTTGTTTATATTTAAAAAAAGAGTATGGTTGTTCCTTCTTGGCGCCTCAAATGAGACAGCAGTGAGATGGCTCATCTGAAAAATGCATCTTTGAACCCAAACAAACTGTATAATTTCCCTTTTCTGGGTTAGGTGCTCAAATGTGTGGAGTGGCAGCCTAGCTTCAAACATTAATTGTCCAGAACCACTTTGATCTGGCTTATAAAGCAGGTTTGAGGCAGAAACTGCCTTGCTCACCCTGGCTGACTTAAACTCTATACCAAGAGATAGTCAGGAATGTGCAACCTTGCTGATTCTCCTGGATCAGCTTCCAATACCATTGATCATGGTGGACCTTCTGGGTCTTCTGTCTGGATTGGGAACTGGAAGAATCAAGCTGCAATGGTTTTGTTCCTATCTTAGTGGAAGAATCCAGAAAGTGGTGCTGGAAAATGTTTACTCCACCCTGTGGTATGGGTGCAGTGGGTGCCACTAAGTTCTATGTTGTGTCCTATGTCATTTTACCATTATCATAGAACTGCTGGTAGAGGCTGTTCAGAGAATTCCTGAAGTGGGAGTACTAGCCAGTCTTACCAGTTACTAACATTGCTGCAGACAGAACACTTCAGGGTGAATCATAGAGTAACTTGTACACTGGGACTCTGGGGAGGAGTAGGACTTCTAGACACATTTATGGGAGGCATGGAAAGGAATGGATAGAATGATTGACAGCTAACAAGTGGCGGCAGAAGGCCCCAACAAGTACCTAAAAGGGGGGTGCTTCCTCCATGTGCATAAGCATGTGTACCAGCAGGAAATGGATCAGGCTGCTTAAATATACAGTATACATTTTTTTTATAAAAATTACTTTGCTCTGAAGCTGTGTAACTTCTTTTGCGAACACGCTGTCAATTGTGGCTGGCATCTGCTGATAGATTGAGTTGGAGAGGTCTTTCCTTGCACTTGCTTTGTATTGTGCCTAGAAGGAAGAGAAATAATGCAGCAATTATTTCAAACAGATTAAAAAGACATTTAGGACGAAAGGTTCAACATTATGCCTTTTGACAACTGGATATAAAAATAGATGTTGCCCATCTCTGCTAATAATCTTTATAGACATATCTTTGAGATTCTGATTGCAGCATTAAAAGTTCTTGTCTATGGTAAGCAGTTATCTTCACAGAATTTGTGGCAGACCCAGTTGAAAGAGTTAATGTAATAATATATTTTTTAACCATATCTGCTCCGCTAGAGAGGCTCCCTTTTGTTTTCCAACTTCCATGACAGCCTCCACTCACCAATCCTGCTTCGTTTCTATTTACTGACCCTCTACAGACCAACCCAACTGAAGAACTCTATGTGATATATCCTACATGTGGAAGCCCAATGTTGTCCACCAGAGTTTTGTTTTCCTTGTGTTTGCTATATTAAATAAACATATTTTTAAAATAAATAAAAAGGGGAATGTAGGGGGATGTAGGTGAAGGCATTTCTTTCACAACCATTCAGAATTCTCAAACATGCACAAAGTCTGGAACATATTTTGATGTAAAACCTTTATGCAAAACCACACACTCTGCCCTGAATATTGTGGAATTTTGGTGTGTGTGTGTGTGTGTGTGTGTGTGTGTGTGTTCACTATAGTCCATAAATATTTCTTGCATTGCCAAAACAAATAATGTTGAAGTGTTTGACTTGCATCTGGAATCAGTAAGACCCAAACAATATACACATAAAAATACAGAATGGCACACATATTGAGTATCTATAAATAGATCAAAGCACCTAAGTATTATGAGCTAGCACCCAACAGATTTATACTTGGTACATCAATAACATATTAAATAAATTAGAATTGCTAATTTTGTATCCATTTTACAGATTACTCTCTTGCACAATCTAACAATTCCATTTTTCGGCCAAACTTGGATTCTAAAATAATTCTAGCATGTTCCTTGAAATCATGCAATATCAATTTCCACTAATGTGTTTTTGAATTAAGAGTCCTATAAAAGTGACAGTTTCCAGAGGAACAGTCATGTTAGTCTGTTGTAGCAATTAAAGACTTAACTATTTCATTATGGAATAAACTTTTGTGGACACTGATCCATGTGCCTGGGAGGAGAGGGGGCAGTCGCAGTGATTCTGGGTAGGGGGAGGCATGGTGTGGTAGGTGGGGCAGGCCAGATAAGCAGTTAGTGACAGTGCCATGTGCCAGCCCCTCCTCCAACCTGGGGCGCTGTGATTGTCCTATCAGCCAGCCCTTGGGTCTGCGGCTGCTGCTGCTGAATGCCAAGACAACTCTGAATAAGATCCTCCTCATCCATGACCTGATTGTGGATGAGGGGGCCGATCTGGTCTGTATCTCTGAGACCTGGGTGGATGAGCAGGGTGGCGCAGGCTATGTCCACCTGTATAGTCAGTGCAACATCAGGGAAGACTTGAGGGACGGGGGAAGGAGTTGCTGTGGCTCATAGAAATGCCATTGTTCTGTCAAGGTTCTCTGTCCAGTTGAGAGGGATCTAGAATGTGTGTTCCTGGCACTAAGCAATCAGTACAGATTAGGGATTCTGCTCGTTTACCTCCCACTTCACTGCCCAGCAGTCTCCCTACCTGAGCTGACAGAGCTGGTCTCAGAGGCAGTGTTGAGGACCCCCAAACTGCCTGTTCTGGGGGACTTCAACATCCATGCCAAGGCTACTGGCTCTGGGGTGGCTCAGGACTTCACGGCTGCCATGACACCATGAGTCTGTCCCAACATGTGATCAGTCCAATGCAAGTGGCAGGCCACACTCTGCAGGCCAGTTGCCAATCTCCCCTTCTTGGGCAAGGTTCTTAAGCGGGTTGTTGCAGACCAGATCCAGGCACTCTTGAAGGAAACTGCCCTGTATGATGACCTCTGTCAGGAGAGAAGCAGGAATATGTATCCCTGTCAATTCTCCTCAGTGGCTTTGGATACCATCAACCATAGTATCCTTCTAGAGCTTGCTGTCTGAGTTTGGAGTGGGTGGAAGTACTGGAACTGTAAATATTGCCACTCTGGGACTGTACATATTGCCAAACAATTTCCCAAATATTCTGTGCCTTACCTCAGAAATAAAGGCAGAGATGTTTTTCACATGCTTTAGCTGAGGGGTGTCAGGAACAAATATGCACTGGCCTTTAGATTTTTCATATGCTCCTTTATAATGGACCTGTAAATGAAGAATAGGATTGGAAAGGAGAAACAGTGTGTGCATGTATAAACTGTGTATAAATTGTTGGCCAGTGTTGAACCTTGCTGTAGTGCAAGACAAGCAAGCATGGTCTCATTGGGAGGCCAGGGTGCAGATTCCAACCAAGCAGATACCGAACCCACACTTGGGTTTGCTGTGGTCAATCCTCCCCCTCAAGCCCCTTATGGGGAGCCCCTATACTATGTTGATCCTGAGCAATGCCATTTCCACCCTCATACAATGTTCTTCCGCCTATGAATTTCACTGAGGAAAGGTAGAAAAAGCCCCAACTAAGTGCTTATCAGGTTGAGAGAGAAAAATTCATTTCCGGCCCAAAATTGCTCAGTGAAGGCTCTAACCCGAGGTTGGGTGTGCCGAAATCTCTCAAACAAAATGGCTGTGATATCCAGGGGAAGCAGCCTTATATAGACTTTCCCCTCCTCTCTTCAGCAAGGGCTCATGGGAAAGCTTTTTCCCATGAGCCCATCACACAGAGAATATACTGGGTAAAATCTTGCCCCAGTATTTTGCTGCAATCTATGGGCCACAGCGCTGTCGGGCAAAGGCATCCCATGCTTTTAGCTTATATGTACCTCATTCAGAAAAGGAAACACAAAGCTTGAATCAGTGCTAGGAACTGGACATCAGAGAGATGTAAAGTGGCTAGATGAGGACACTTAAACATTTCAGTTATCATCACTATGCTCATAATGGCAGAAATCCAACAGACTTCCATTAAGCCAGTGAAAAGAGCTTTAGAAATCAATGATCTAGAGAAGAAGGTTCTTCATGGATATTCACTGTGGATCTGACAAGTTTCAATTTTGTGTATGTGATAAAAGCAGCAACACCACCCAACTTAAGGCACAATCCTGTTAAAGTTAAGCACAATTAAGTCTCGTTGTTTTGAACAGAAGACAGTTAAGCAAGTGACCAACCATGCCACTGAAATTAGTGGGTCTCAAGGAAAAACTAATACTATGGCCATGATACAGCCATAGTTAAGAATTTTCATATGTTCAAGATCGCTTCAGTATATTGTCTCAAGGCAGTTAAATATTGTTATCACCCTTTCACAGATGGTCGCACTGAACCTGAGAGATGATGGTATGGCCAATGGCTACCTCAGTGGAATCACAGTTGTGCTGACATTTATTTATTTGTTTAGTAAAATATTTTAACTCTGCCTTTCTTTCAAAGAGAAATCCAGAGCAGCTAATAAAATTTAAACACATATACAACATCAGAATATATTTTTTTAAAACAATCAAAACCAAAGGTGTAAAAACAGCAACAAGGACCTCCAATAATAATAAAAAATGCAATGCCCCAAAGGTCTTCCTAAAGAACCACATACTGTCCAAATGGCACAGACCATGCAATGAAGAAGCCAGTCATGTCTCCCTAGGGAGGTTTTTCGGGGGCTTAAGTGACATGACAAAGATGAGTTCTCTATCTCAAACCCACCAAAAGAATGCCTGAAGCCAAGACTCATTTGCTCTGAAATGCACCAGCTCCATCTGAGCAATGAGGTCGCAGAAAACAACATTCAGAGTTGTTGTGAAAAGGAGTCACTCATTGCTCAAATTCAACCTTCATGATGCCACTTTAAAGCCAACTTCTAAAAAAATTGGGCTCCACATTATTTAAAACCCCACCAGAATTTGTTAATGTATTCTGAATCAGCTTCTACTGACAACTTAGAAACGTTGGAACACTTTGCAAAGAAAAGGGAAAACTGAAAATGGCAAAAGCCAGTTTCACAATGCCGTTTTAAAGGGAAACCGCTAACCCTTTCACAATTATGCATACGTATTTTTCAGGAACAAATTGGCCATTTCTACTTAGAACCTTGGATGCGTGCTTTTAAAATCTTGTCTAGCTGAAACATGACCAAAAATTTAATAAGGAATTAACACACTACTAAGAACCTTTACTTACGTCACTTATCATTTCAGTGCACCTTCTGGCAAGCTCCATGTTTCTATCCTCAATAACAGGCTTAAGGAACACCTATAGAAGAAAGAAGGCATGCCAAAAATGAGAAGAAATCACATAATGAATTCCCTAGCACTTTACAGAATGTATCAGAACCACCCACCTTTGCCTCAGAGTTCTCCTCCTCCTCCTCACTTCCATTCTCCCTAGATTCTTGAAACGGCATTCTCATTTCTTCCGTTCAGTTAGAAAAATGGCAAAGTTCAGTAAGGTAAAACAGCTTGCACTCTACAACTTGTTGAATGCCTATGCTGGTCTGCTTCTACAGTGAGCTTAACGACCCCATGGTTTTTCCCTTATTTAGGCAATACTTCAAGGGTCTTATCTGAACAATTCAGCATGAGTGGAGTGAAAGGCGTCACAAATGTCCTTGCTATAGTGACCTGAAAACAAAAAAATAAAAAGAGTTAATACTTCCTTGCAACCAAGCTTAAAATATCTAAAACTGCACTTGATAATATTGAGCTTTAAACAAAAGTCTGCCCCTTAATTTTGTAAAATTGGCAGGATTGCAAAATTCTCAGGAGTGTGTATATGAACATACAGGAGTGCTAGTTGTGCACGTGCGAATCCAAGTACACACTTGCAACAACACCTCAAAAATACAATGTTATAGGTTTGAGGGGGGACTGCCCTAAACCCTAGAAATTAATAAACTGTGTGATTTTTATTATTTGGGGTATTGGAGTATTTGGAGTATAATTTGGAGCCAGTGGCTCATCTGGGATAGTGGTGTTAGTATTACAAAAGGTATTGATGGCCCAATCTAAGAGGAATCTTGGGCCTGGGCAGACAGAGGTTGCCAAGGTGGGGGAGGTGACAGGAAAAGAGTGTCTTTAGCAAGGTGTGATGGGAAGAAGGCAGAACAAAGGGAGGTATCTATCTTGGGCAGTCTGCCTGCAGTCTGGCTGGGAGAGGTACTTTGGCCTGCTGTGCTTCACTGCTGTGGGGAACAAGCCCCTCTTGAGATAACTAGGCTGTAAGATCTGGACACCCTCCATCTAAATTCAGGTGTAAATACGTTCTTGTTTTTAAATCGTATTTCTTAAAGCTACAACATCCTCTGTCACACCTTCAATTTTCCAAAGGAACACAGACCCTGATTGAGGGCCAAGACCCCAGGAATCCCATGCACAGCTCAGCAGGGATCAGAGACCATTGACCAACTATGTCAAACCCCCACTGCTAATTACAAGACTGTCTTGTATACAAACAGCAAACACAGCTTTCTGCTGTTCCTACAGATTTCCCAGAAAGCTGTATAGTTCAAATACTGGGAGAGGGGGGTGTAGTTGTACAGTAAACCTACATTACATTTTGAAACATTTTCCCGAAAAGACTCTTGTCATTTTCAATGAAGGCAACCTGGTTTACTTAACAGGTGAAAGTTACAATATGGTAAAAGCATACTAAAAACCTTCTAAGATATACTGCGAAGAATTTTTAAAAAGCGGTTCTACAGAATGACTTTGATCGTACAATAATACTGCATTGGGATACCAGCCAGGGCAGCATTTACAGTACCCTCTGTTGGTGTTGTGGACTAAGTGCCTAAGTGCTGAGCTAGAAATACTCTGTAGCTTGTCCTACTTTCCCTGCTATCCCTTCCCCATACATGAACTTGCTGAAGGTTCATTTTCCTGTGTTTACTTATCTGGGGTTGTTCTTGCTTTCTAGACGCACTGAATATATCATTCCAAGAGGACACAGAGTACTCATCTGTGTGCTCGTGTTCTTGACACACCTTCCCAGAGCCTATCAAGGTGGCAATGCGCCCTACTTTATAGAGGACAGTACTCTGTTTGAAGGGCAGACAGAATACAAGGAATACCCTGTTGGAAGGGATGCTTGGGCCCAAGTCAAGTAGAACCAAATGAAGGGAATGCAAAGTTAAAGTGTTGCCCCAGGATCTACGAAACATCGCTTTCAGGTTTTTTTGTTTCTCATTATTCCAGCCTGAAAGTCTAGAATAATTTCTGCAACAGCTTGTGATTTATTTATTTTTAAGTCCTCATAAAAACTCTTTTAAACGTTTTGATATGCATTTTTTCCAAATATTCACACTTTTGCAAAGCAATGTTTTTTAGTATAATGTGTTTTTGCATGTTATTTTCAACTATGCATTTTTAAATGAGCTCTTTACCATACTATTTGCATTTTTAATATACATTACTATGTATTATGGAGAACTGGAGTGGAAATTTTGAACGATGGCTATGGTTAAGTCTGCATATTATTTTGGAAACTGCAAATTAGGTAAGTTTCTCCTCCATTCCCAGATAGAAGGGCCCAATGGTACCATCACTAGGTATGGCTATTCCAGGCTCTGCGAGTATTTGGCTGCCTAGGCAGATGACTACAATTCTACAGCTCATCACATTCAAGCACAGTTCTGACACTAGCAGTTCTTGTCCTAACATCCTTTCTCCACCAGTGCTTCTCCCCCGAAATTGCCTTGCCCAGCTATTACTCTCCTGGTGAGACCTCCAAGGCTACAAGTAAACTTATTGAGAGAAAAATGGCTGGGGGAGGCTGTTTCAAGGACACGTTTGGCACCACACTCTTTCCTACCTTTCACTGTAAATCTCCTCCACATGGCTTTATAGGCTGTCAGCACAATCCACATGCTAACACATAGGCTGACCCTAACCCTGGAGAGAAACGAGGATGTCGTTCCAGAGAACTGACATAAAATGAATTGACAATGTAATGGCTAGCAATAATTAGGTAAAGGGAAGTTAGGCTCCCTACGAAGAACGCTACCCAACAAGGAAACATGGTTACCTTGACAACAGGGAGATGGTGATAAATATGGCTCTTTCTTGCAACCTCCTGAAAAACATAATTCTGCCTACACATTGTCAAATATCTATTTTACAGTTGCCATACTACATTCCAACACATGCAGCTGCAGCAGCTCTGTGAGTACAGTTAGCATATTTTAGGATCTAAATGACAATTTAATGCCGGTAAAAAAAAGGTTGTATACCCAGCAATATATATATATATTCATTTGCTACATAGAATGCTTTGCTTTGCAGGCACTCCTTGATCAAACCATATGAAACTTTAGATTTCACAATTCATCGGGAGGGGCGGAATTATGAACACTTAAATAGAAACAGGCTTTGTGCTGCATAGTTCAGGAACACACAGTGTAAGCTCAAGAGATAATATGCATCAAAATTTCCAAATTAAACCTGAAACTAGGCAGACCAAGTGGTCGGACGCAGTATAAGGCAGCTTCCTCTGCTCCCGAGTTCCTGTTGGGAACTTGCATCTCTATGAAGCCTTGGGACTATCCGCCCAGTGTCTCATGAAGCATCACACTGTAGATGTCTTACAATACTTCAGTTTCAAAAATGGAATTGGGGCTACAAAATCCAGACTCCTGCCCTAGGGCATTATCCATGCAAGCTGCTGACACAGCCCATTCACTGTCCCACTTCCGTGAAGAAGCACACAAGGCTTTGGATTGTCACCCTTCATGGGAGCAGAGCTCCGATTGGCTGGAGGGTTAGCATGCTTTTTGTCTTCATCCTGAATGGGATCTAAATCATGAGTTTTCATTGATTAAATTGGCTGTTTTGGTCATAAAGGAACTTTGGTAGAAGAGCCAGGGCAGATATGGCTTTTCAAAATGGCCTTTAGCTCCTATTTTTTCTAAGGATAAAAGCTTAAAGGGTAAAGGACCCCTGGACGGTTAGTTCCAGTCAAAGGTGACTATGGGGTGTGGCGCTCATCTCGCTTTCAGGCCAAGGGAACCGGCACTTGCCTGGTGGTTGGCTGTGCCTATTTTGTGATAGGCTGCCATAATGCAAAGTGAAGATTATGAATGGTCTGAGGCCAAGAACATCTCTGAACAAGGTAACACGTTTGGTGACCCTCCATCACCTATTTACTACTGCATGAAATTGACATATATCTGGTTACTTAGTAATGGGAGATATAAAATGTTGATCTGAATGCAACAGATCAAAGAGAGAGGGGGGAAGCCTCAAAATGGCACTACCTGTCTTTTTCCTTTCCCCACCCTCCCTCTCTCTTTCTCATGACAACCTAGGAGCAATCTAAGGACATCTGCCAAGACTGGTACAGTAGGCTACCAAAGCCAGCCAAAGAACCCAATGGTTTTAAGCTATTCTACTACTGCTTTCCATACTGCTTCAGAGATGCCGCCAGTTTTGAGAGCCCTGGACAAGGAACCCTGTGTGCCGCCTCCAGGGCTGTCTTAAGCATATGCGGTGCCGGGGTGCAAAGATCTGCCCGGTGCCCCCCCCCCAGGTTGCCTAGTCCCAGACACGGAGAGCGGAGCCAGCTGGCCGCCTCAGCATCTCGCTGGCTCGGTCACCCCCAAACTCACGCCACAGAAGAAGAGCCTACCGCAGCACTCCAACCGACGGACGGGCTCTTCCTCCGACTCAACTCTCGGGCCCCGGACTCTTGGCCTGGCGCCCCTAAGAGCCCGGCGCCCAGGTGCCCCACACCCCTAGTGCCTATGGGTAAGACGGCCTTGGTCACCTTTGTGCTGGTCCACCTCCTTGCCACCTTCACTGTATTGGCCACCCTGCTCTTCTCCATTACTCCTGTCACTGCTACCACCCCCGATGCTTGCTTTTTTGGGTGGCTGAATGGTTAAGGCCCCTGTATTTTTAATTCTCCAAAATGCTGGTAGGCCCGATGTGAATCCCAAGGCATTTCTGTGGAAACAATGGAGTGTGGGTGGCTGCAGATGGCCCAGCACATAACTTCATTTTCTAGTGCACGTAGTGACTTGCTGGCGCCCAATCATTTTGGGCATCATTTCACTTTAGAGTCACTTTTTTGCTGTAGACACAGACAACTTTCTCACTTAAAGGAGAGCTTGCACATCTTCAGAGTACTGGACATACGTTGTATTGAAGACATATTGAAGGGACAGTGGGTTGACTTTCTTATGGGGAAAGCAAGTTTAAAGCTAAATGTGCTTTAGGCAGTTTAGGTGGCAAGGGACTCTTTAAATAATTTAGGGATCTGTCATGGTTTGTTCTGGTGTGGATCTGTCATGGTATCTCATGACTGGGCAACTGTTTGTTTAGTGGAGGGATAAGACAAGCTTATAATAAGGGACTTGTTCTCTGCCAGATAATGTAAAAGATTCCCCATGGGCATCTTTTTGAATTTTCTGCATCTGTAATGCATATGGAGAACATACATTAACTTTTAATTTCATGGACCTTTTGGCCCTAGGTGCATGTGTATAGTTTCATAGGTCTGGAAAAGCAAGCTCTAGCCCACAAAAGTGATTGCCACA